AAAGATATACGATAAAATATCACACACATATTATATATATATATATATACATATTATATATATATATATATATATAATATGTGTGTGATATTTATATATATATATAGGGAGAACAATGAAACGAATAGGTGGACTTATTAAATGTTCTTTATCTGTATACTGTTCGTGGATATCTTAATTAGATAGATAACGAAGTATGTTAAACGAGTTAAGGCCAGAACGCTGACGCAACACAATTACGAATATAACGTGAATCTGCGTGATTCAAGCACGGTACTATCGATGCAGTCAATATCCTGTTGCGGGCGTTCCGTTTTGGGATTTTATCGGTACATCCTCGATTCCCGTCAAATTATAAATGTCGTTGTAACCAGAAGATGAAACTTTATCGTTATATAGCGTATATATTATAACCGATAACCGATCGATTATTTAATCCGCGGTTGCTCGAATTTAGATCTGGACTGCGGCTGGACGAGAGGAAAGGGGGAGGGCAAGGGGTAATTAGAATCCATGTAGCGACGATAGTGTACACAGCGTGCGCAGTGCTAGTCGACCGTTGTAAAAGATTGCAACGAGATCACGATTCTCACGAGCGATTGACCAAATTGTATGGTAGACCATTTTCAATTTTCTTATTAGAACGATATTTTCGTTTGGATCTCGCACACATCACCGGATAGTGCTTATCGGTCGTGGATTATCGCGTGTATATGCTCTCGCCTTTAGTATTGTCTGCGTTTTCTTTCAGTTTTTCCTATTTATTCTTTTTAATGCTACGTCTCACATGAGAGAGAAGGCCGATTTTTCCAATGTCGATTGGCTTAATGCCATGTTTTTCGATTTTTTTTTCTAAATCGCGATATCTTCGTTAATACAAATAGCGAAGAAAGATCTAGTTAACTCTGATCAACGCTAGTCGACATTGGCGGAATCGGCCCCTCGAGAGACTGTAGCTAAAATTGTAGATACTGAGTTTTTATATGAATCACGATTTACTAATGTTTTCTATCGCTCTTAGCAGGTTTTTTAAGAGTATACCGTATTAACCATTTTCATTCTCTTCATCTCGATATCTTCAGTTCCGCCAGCGCGTACGTATATCGATGAGTATAAATAGGTGTATACATATTGATAGGATAATTGAGTGGTTGAAAGTTTTCCGAGTGGTTGAAGGGAACGAATATATTTCTGTAAAGTGGGTTTGTCTAAAGTGGAAAAAAAAAGTTAATAGTGTCACTCGGGCGGATGCAGATGTAGATGCGAGGCGGAGGAAGCGGCCAGATATATCCTCGGGCTTGGTATCAACGAATCGCTTCCCTTCCTTCATCGATGTACATTTCCGTTTTTCGTTCGTTCGCTCTCTCGATTGATTTCACACTTCGCGTAGTCGGGACGTATTTTTGTATAATATAATATGAACGTATAGGATCTCTTCTCTGAGCGTAACCGGCCGCTGCGGGGACAGTTAGTTGTTAGTCTATGTAAAATCGGTAGCTACGAGTCGAGCTTTGACCGCAGAAATCGCGCGAGTTCTTCAAAGGCCGCCGGTAGATCTAGAACGATGACGCAAGTCGACGTGATTAATATTAATCTTAAAATCAATATTATTAAATAATATTAGAAGAAAACATTATTGATAAATGTTATTAATATATTATTACTAATATTATTTATTGAGTAAGAAGAATTTGCGTTTGCAATTTTGACACAGATATGTCTAGAAGATTTCCATTTTCTAAAAGTAGTAGAATCGATCAAGAAAATATATGCATTCCGACTTCAATGCACATTGGTTCTATAAGCAAATTTAATTTACCGTTTTATATCTGAAAAAATGCATGATTTTCTTTGCTCACCTCGTACGGTCATTTGCATATCAAATTAGAATCACATTCAAATATCTCTTTCGCGTTTCATTTCATACGATATTGCTCTCGATCATTCTCCTTTTTACTTTTTTTCTATTCAATCGACATTGCGCTTAAAGCTACCGGCGGCCGAGCCCAACAGGACAATATTACGTATATATTATTATCGTATTATAGGAAGGTGTGAGACGAGATAATCCAACTGTATTCTATCTCTTTCGCTGTAAACTAGGAAGATATTCTTGTCGCAACTTCTTACCGGCCCGTATAGTTTAGGTAAAGCCTCCCGGCCGCGTAAGGATACACACTGTATATTATTAATATTTATGGAAGGGATTATTTAGCGAAAGTAAGAAGGCCGACCGGACCGACCAGCTAGTATCCCGGGAACGAGAGGTAGAGAAAGTGAAAAATCGACACCACATCGTATTTTTTTTCATTGCAATCTAATAGAGATGCCTTGTTGTTGCTCCAAGAACGGCTTGTCGCGCTTCTCGTTTTCTCCTTGGAGACCGAAAGAGAAAGAGAGAGAGAGAGAGGAGAGAGTTCAGAGTTACGGAGAAAGGGCTTTACTGTTATTTAGTTTTAACATAATTCCATTTATGCTCTTGCATGTTCATATATATATAAAGAGAGCAGAGGAAGAGAGAGAAAGGTCATCAATCATGAAGCGATAGTGATTTTGATTCAGAACGCGAGAATTATTATTTCGAGGCACGCGCGTATGCGATGATTTGCAACATCGATCAAGTGTTTCGAAAATTATCTGTAAAGTCATATACATTTATATTTATTTTATAAATACACAATTTGCGCACAATCTTCTGTAATGTAATATACAAGTTACCAAATTCGTTACATGCCTTGTTCTTTCTCCTTTCTTTCTCTCTCACTCTCACTCTTTTTCCTTTTTATTGTACTTTTATTGTACTTTTTTGATAAAATTATCAAGCTTTTAGAACATTTGATTGTAATTTTGAGTAATTGTAAGTAGAAAATTATTAACCGGATTTCTCTATTTACGCTGTAAATTGAGTGGCTGGCGTGTCGAAACGTAAAACGTTTGACAGAAACGAGACGAATGCGAACGTTCGTCGTCGAAGCGGAAAATCATTTACAATGTAACGATATCACGCGATATACGTGTGCGTACAGAGCGTGATATTATTATTGTCGGTCGTTACTCATAGCGTCGATTATTAGTAGCGGCGTTTGTACCGTCGTTAATATGATTTTGATAACAGGGCAGAACGATCTGGGATCGTGTGAGCGCGCAATGACGAACCGACAATGCCTTCTCGTTGTACAAATGTCGAGGGAGATGAAGGAATGAAAGGAAACCGTAACCCGCGATCGTGGTGTCAGAGTATCTCTTTGGCGGCGTGTAGCTTTATAAGAATATGAACACAAATCAGCATAGTCCGCTGTAATAGGAGGGAAAAAATGAAACGAAAGAATATATGTAGAGATTCGTAGATAGTGCAAAGAAGATTATATATATATATATGGCATATGTGTGCTGTATACACACACTGAAAATTTATGCAGTGCGTGTGTGCAGCATGCAACTCAAATCTACTTGTTAAGTCTAGAGAAACAATCTAAATTCGTATTTGTTTCAAATTCATAGTCTGAAACGGCATCCCATGATTCCGTAAAAATCGAGTACCAACAGAGACGCAATCACTGCGACCTTGTTATTCGTTATAGTATTATCCCCAATGCACGCAATATTAATTTTTCGTGACATTATAATTGTCCTACAAGTGGACTAGAGAAAAAAAATGTTTCTTTGGCATTGTCTGCGGAGATGCATTGAGGCATTTATCTCGCTATTGTCTCGCTATTGTCTCGTCCGAGTTGGATGACTGTAGTCGTCTGCTTTTACGTTCGACCATGCAAACGCGTGCTTGGCGACGATCAAGGGCAAGCGCGAAATATCATTATCCTGCGTTGAAACAATAACGAAAGGGACCGCTCTACTTTCTATATAGTATACCCGATCGACCGACGTTCAAGGTAGTTCGCGACGTTATTGGATTAGAGAGGTATATACGAAAAGAGAGACGGTTATGCTTCCGGGCGTTTTGGGGGGTTCAGGGTTCAGCTTGAAGAGTCTTTTATTCCGCTTACTCATCCCTACGTGGCATGTTGTCGATGGGAACGGCCGGCGGATCGCGGATGGCAAATATCGCGGATAAATATCGACAAGACGACAAGTGCAGGCTCTCGCTTCGCGGAGCTTATTTATCGGGGAGAAAAACCGATCTAATCTCGGAAAATTCAGGTATCGATGCTGCATAATCGCCTGAGAATGATCTCCGTCTTTATTCGTGCTTAGGGAAACGCAATGAGAGTAATGAGACATGTATTTCCACGTTGCAGCATTGTAACTCTATCCCAGATTACATCGGTTTTCAATATTCGCTATTTATGCTTGAAATCCGGTGTAATCGTTATACGCGCGCTCCGAGAGTTTTTAATTATTAAGGCCGCGCGTTCAGTTAAGTTTGGCATGTTTTTTTACTCGTGTGAAGCGCAACGTGAATAGCATAAATAAAGTTATGTCGAGTGAACGGGACGTCTTGAGATTCTTGAGAATGGCGTGGCCGTGGCCGGTGGCGTGTGAGTTGAGACGCCGGCGCCGCGGAAAGAACACATTCCAGAAAGCGTTTTTTCTCCATTTCGCGGCAAGCACGGTTCGGTGCACGTTATACATTTTAATTAATTTTGCGAATCAAATCTCTAGCATGCCATAATCTCGTTTCGTTCCGTTTCTTTTTTTTTTTACACCCTTCCTCATCCACCCTCAAGTGCAAATAATGCAAACGATGTCGACGTTTAACGTTTGATGTCTGCGTATATAATTGTAATAATCGTTGCTGTAGATTCTCTCGAGAGAGGTAATATACTTATATTGAATTATTATTTACGATTATTATTTACGACATACTTTATATTATATTATCATTAATGCCAATTACACACTACAGATATGTTGTTGTAATATTTACTATATGTAGCACATCAATGGCGTTTAATAGAGAATATTTATTGAAATTATTTACCATAAAACGGAAGTTGTGCCTTAGTTATGTGTTAAGAGCCTGTTAACTGATCGAACTATCATATGGTCCCATTATTACCCCGAAAATCTTTTGTATCGACGAAACGTAGATAAATTGTCTTGTCGTTAGGACTCTAAATTTATTCCAATTAGGAAACGATCAAAGAGCGAATAAGTGCAGGACTATTTTAAGCATCTATCTATTTGCGAATGAATCTTACTTTTGCTCTCAAAGCACCATGTCATTCGTGTTGGTTAAACTGCTTAGAAGTATACGTTCGGTGGTACATGGTCCATCTGCAAAAATTACACATCGTAAATGAATATACATTATAAATTATAATTTATAATAATATTTTATAGGAAAATTTTCATTCACATATTAATTTACATTGCAAGAAAGAAAATTATAAAGAATCTTTGAATCATCTAATTTTATGTATGTGTTCTGGAATAACAATTTTTAATTCTTTTTATTACAAACAACAGTTCGTAATAAAGTTAGAATGTTCGTTAAATGTTCGCCCGACTTCGAGTAATTAATATCACGCGTGTTCAGGCTTTATATGTTTTTAAAAGAATATTAAAAAAGAATTGGATTACAAAATCTGACAATTATTTCCTTTAAATATGTTGTCTCTTTCGTCAGGTTTTAAAGAGAGAAAAAGAAAGAAAGAATAAAAATGGAGAAAGTAAAACAACTAACTAAAACAACTCTTTTTTTTAGTGTTGCTTAAAATACAATGACGATTAAAAGATTCGCACTTGTTGCGAGATCTATACAAGTTAATCCAGATTCACAAAATTAGGTGCATGATTCGTGTTATATATTGTCAAGTATACTTAGCACATTTATATTTTTGCTTAGAACTTACCCAATCGATACCATTCATCCGTATTCCCTGCCTCCGCCCTAGCGGAGTTCAACGCATTGCGGATCGCGATCAGAATCACGTAACTCATACAAATCGGTGGTTCACCGGTTGCTGCAAAGATGAAATGTTCACAATTAATCGATCCTTTAATCCTTTCAAATATGATATCTCTTAATACCTGCTAGACGGATTCTTTTATATTTTTACTAAATTCCTTTCAATTTTTTCAACCTATTTAAATTAAATTATAAACTAGAGAAATGTAAACTGTAAACCTATTCAATTTTTATAAATTTAAAAGTTCTTGCAAAAAGATTCGTAAATGTTTTTTAATTGTATGTAAACATATAAAACATTTAAATTTTATTTTTGATAGTAAGTATAGAAGAATAGAATGAAACGCTTCATAAAGTTTCCGATCTCACCTTTTGAACCAAAGATACCGACTGTGTTGGCCGAATTCTTGAGTAAGGATACGCGGAAATCTTCAGGAATATCCTTCGCTCCTGGCGGTTTATAATTCTACGAGAGAAATAAAATACTTTAGATAATTTAATTTATGTATTCCTAGGACAATTTCAATGAATCGGGACAGTTGCGTCTTGGCGATATTAGCTTTAACGAAATTCAATAAAAATAACGTATCTACCCAAGTTCTGTCATTCGTTAATATTCCTGTTTTAGGATCGTACACCAAATCCTCGGAAGTCCAGTATCCTATTCCCATCACGAAAGCTCCCTCTACCTGACCGACGTCGACCTTCGGATTCAAGCTTACACCAGCGTCTTCCATCAAATCGACTCTCCTGATAATATGCTGGCCGGTCAACACATCGATCTCCACTTCGGCAATAGTGACACCGTAAATGCCGTAAGGCTTGATTGTATCGTTCTGTGCGGCCGCCATCCTGCCAAGGTAAGTGTAATATATAATAATGTGTAATAATTAATGATTTGCGCGTATTGTCTGTTTTCTCTTATAAATATAAAATTTAAATTGATTTATTTATTCGATTTTTATCGAAATCCGAAAACACATAAATACGCTTAATTTTAATCACGGAAGGAGGAATGCAAACAGATTTTTTAAATTGCATTTTTCACCCTCTACCACTTATTACAAATAAAACATGAAGTGATAAAATAAAACACATATATAAATAAAACAATAGAATAAAATAACAGTTTTTTCAGAATAAAAATACATTATTTTTGGAAAGATGTCGAAATGCTTTACACAGTGCGGTCCATAAATTTCGAGACAAAAATCGTATAAAATAAAGAACAGAAAAATATTTTAAATATTTTTTACTTAAAGTAGGCTTTTTCTATAATCGATATGCTGTTCTGTTCTCGTTTTCAATCCTTGGATTCTTTTGTAATCGTCTGCAGTTGATTCGAATTTCGTGATGTGTCCTTTATTTTATATTTTTTTTGTCTCGAAACTTATGGACCGCATTGTGTATGACGGTTTGCGTGACATAATATATTAGCGATATGTTAAATATGACTTAATGATATTTACATATAACGTGCGCATAAATCAACGTCCTTTTGATACGCCGTGAAGACGAGATCCTTCCAGCTCGGATTATTCATTTCTTTTCTTATCGGCTCGAGTCTTTCCAGAATCTCTTCGCAAGCTCGGATCGTTGCCTAGAATAAATGCGATATTTGAATAATGCAATAGTCATTATAAATTTGACGTTGTATATATATCACGTCGTTTTCCATAATGTCAGGGACGAATTGAATTGAATTCTTACATATCCGCAGGTCTCCGTAGTAATGTTCCCTCCTGTATTCGAGTTGTTGGGTGTTGCTAAATTATTACTTTGTTTAATGGAGATTAATTCGAGATCGATCCCCAGTGTGTGAGCTGCTATTTGAGCGATCTAGTACAAGAATTGTTTTTAAATAGCTAGAAATATGAAGCGACTTATTTATGTTAAATTGAATTCCTTCCAGTCTACATGAATCTGTCAAATATAATTGATCTATTTTCAAAACAGAATACATATTCAAAATAGAAAAAGGGACATACAAAAATCTGGAAATCTCAATTTTCCTTCGTCTGTTAGTTTATCGATTGGATGAAGAGAATGAAAGAACTTGCTTAGATAAGTAATTGCATTTTCGTACCTTGGTATTTATACCTTGTCCGATTTCGATTCCGCCATGCGTCACGCAAACCGAACCGTCTCGAGCGCAGACCGACACCATCGCGTGGAATTGCCCTATATATAACATCGGATACCTCATCGTCACAATAGCGATTCCCTTTTTCTTCCAACGATTCTCGTTGTTGAATGCCTCAACGGCCCGCTTCCGCATCTCATAATCGGCCGATTTCGACAAATCCTTTACCATGGTTTCTAATGCGGCCTTATCTACATCGTTCATATTCGACAATCTGACCTGTACCGGATCCTTTTTCGTCACTTTCGCGATGTGTTCCATTATATTTTCAATCATGGCCACTCCTTCCGTGGATCCTGGCGCACGACAGTGTGTGTTTGACGGTAAATCGGTTCGCACCTCGAATCCGTTGAATGTCCAACTATCGGTCGCATAACAGCTACTAATAATCAAAAATCAAAATCGACTGCGAGTTAATTAATTAATTAATTAATTAATTAAAAATCAAAGTTTAATTGCAACAGAGTATATCTCTAAATTTAATTAAGGCAATTCTAGGACATTATTTTACATCGTTTAATTAATGTTATTTTGTTTAAATTAATATTATCATAATATTTTTTTCTTTTTTTGAATTTGGTGCAAAATTCTGATGCAAATTTAATAAATAGTATATCTAACTTATTTCAATATCTTTCTTACTTGAAAACTTTTCCATTCTATTTTAAAATATTGGGCAAAATTCAGTAGATAAATATTAATATTACATATTATCGTCATAAATTGTTTATATTTTGTTTGTACTATTATGCTGTATTGTCGATACCCTTGCATGTAGAAAACCACCGTGGCAGCTTGTGGTTCGCTGAAACTGGAACCGCAATTGCCCCAATGTTTCGAGTTAAGATACTGGATAACTCCGTCATCGTCCACTCCAATCTCATATTCTTGACGCGTGGAGTATCTCTTGCCAATCGATTGCATATTGCTCTCTATCATCATAATGAATCGCGCTGGACGATTCAGTTTGTGACATACCAGTGCGCAAGCACACGAGATTTGCGTGTTGCGCGAGATTTTTGATCCGTATGCACCGCCAAGTCGTCTCACATACACATTGATACTAAAAAAAATTAAATTTATGCGATTATAGTGCTAATTTAATTTTTAAGATGTAGGACGGTATAACTCGTATAAATTACGTTATTACCATTGAACTGTCATAATTACTTGATATAGTTAAGAGATTAATGAGTTACCTATTATTCTTAACATTGAGGCAATTCGCGATCGATACTTGAGTGATGTCCAACCATTGCGATGATGGATAGACATCCATACCGTCCTCCACAGGAACGCATACGCAAGATTGAGTCTCCATGGTATAGTGATATTGGCTGCCGCATTGAAAGACGCCCTTTATCACTTGTTTAGTATTTCCTCCTGTAAATACATAATAGTAGGAAACGATCCCCGCATATACTTTAATATATTATTTCTTCTTATATCTTATAAATAATAACAGTCACTTGTACAATTTCGTAAGTTTGCTTATCTCATTTTTCTTCCAATTGCTTCTGTCTTCTTCCTGATAATTGTAATCGAAAAGATAACTTATAAATCAAATTTCGTTCTTTATCAATTTCTACCTTTCTTTTTCGCCGGGACGTTGACACTCTGCATAAATCTAGCGTCGTCTTGCGTGGCAAGTGCATCCTCGATACTTATTACTGGCTTCGTTTGAGATCCGCTATATTTAATTTCCACCAATTTTGCGGCCTCGTTCGCCAAATTATTTGTTTTCGCGACGATCACGCCTACTGGCTGACCAGCATACAGAATATCCTCTTCGGCGAAAAGCAACTCGTCTTCCTGCAAGAACGTCAACTTGCTGGCGGCCGAAATGAACAGATTCTTTCCCGGTATGTCCTTGGCGCTAAAGAACGCCACTACACCCTCCATGCTAAGCGCTTTGCTCGCATCTATACTGTCAATTTTGCCGCTACCACATTTCGTGACCACGAAAGAGCAAAACACCTCCCTAGGATATGGAGGCAGATCATTGCAATATTGAGCCTCGCCCGATGTCTGTTTTATAGCATCTAATTTCGTTATAGGCTCATTTATCGGCCACAATGTCGCATTCGTGTCGTAGTCTTGCGTACCTAGAATGTCCATGTTTTTTTCGTGCGCAATTAGAATAATCAATTAAAATATTTTACGAGTTTTTCAAAGTAGGTTACTCTACTTTCAACGAACCTATAGCTTTCTATTTCTTTACTATCAAGATTATTTTACAAAATTAACAGCGAGATTTTTGTTTAAATATTTCAAGACTTTAAGGCTCGTTCTCTCGTAAACGAAATTAATATAAGTCGAACTTTTCAGTCGTGTTACACGTAGGAGATTAAAATAAAGAAAATAAATTTTTATCTTCAAACACGTAAGAATACTTAAAGAATAAACATAGATTTTCAAAAATATGCCGGTGTATGTACGTGTACTTAATATATACCTGAAGAGAGACCTCGCTGTAACACGAAACCACCGCTACAAAATCTGGGATTTACAATCTCTGGTTTGATGCTCAACACAAACTTATAAAATAATCCTTCGGCAATAGTTGTACGAAATTCCGGCGAATAGGACGGCAGCACATGGTCCGGATGCAGTTCATCATGCAACGTCTTCAAAGCGGACTTTAGCACCTGATTGTTTAGGATCGATTTACCTATCAACATTAGCTCCGTGTTGGTCGCGTGGAAGAAATCCTTATTGATGCCTCCATAGATAATGTTGGGCCTCTCCAGCACCTTCTCACGAAATATTTACATATATTTAACAAATTATCCCAATAATATAATAATATATACAAATTTAAACAAATTTCCTTACCATGCCTCCAGCGCCGAATTTGAAGAGAAAACCGGCATTGACGTGAGCGTGAGCGTTCTGAGCTCTAGGCATTATCTTGTAGGATCTGTATTCGTACTCGTCGGATAGCGGTGGCAAGACCACGCTATAGATGATCTTGTGGAACATGTCGAGTTTCAGAAACTCCAACAATGTCACACTCTGCTTGCGAGCGGGTGATTCGAGGACGTGTACTTGAGTACCGACAGTCTCTAATATCAAAAACATATCGGAGGGAAATTCATTGTGCGCGTGCTTGATCATCAAGTTGCCGGCGATGCTGCCGATGTTTCGCACCGGCACATTTGCGATCAGGTCTACGTGCTGAGCCAGTTGACGTAAATATTTAAATTTGTTTTCGAATGAGTACTTCTGGAAGGCCTCTATCACCGTGGTAAGAGTTGTATTTCCGCCTAGGACTAAGTACTGATTGGTTTTCTGAATATTACGCAAGTCTGGGATATCGTTTATATCGATGTAGAGATCTTTTTTGTTTGTGCGATAAACACCTGAAAAATTAGATTTTTATTTTTTTTTAGAGTTGCGCTTTCTAAAGTATTAAAGAAGGTATTTATATTTATCTAAACTTTTGAAAAATGGTAGAATTTAGCATCAATAGTGCTTTGTAATGCGCGTATAATTGCTAAAAGTAACATTGAAATATTTGGAACAATTTTATTATTAAGTCTATCCAAATAGATAAAGAATGATTACTATGAAGACTTTGTATAAACTTGTATCAATTAGTGCCTATATATATCGCTTAAATGGAAGATTATGGAAAATTACCGTGTGCAGTGTTTCCCCCATTTAAAATATAAGTAGCATTCGGTTTCTGTCGAAATATTGCGAATAGATCACGGATCGAGTAAACTTTGAAAAATTCCGAGTCTGCTAACTTTATATCCAACGTTGTGTCTTCATGGGAAAGTTGCTGATCGCAGCAAGTATCGATACATGGAATCCCATACTTCGGACAGGCTTTGATCTTGTACAACTCCTGCGAAGTATATTTTATTATACTTACAACAGAATGTAAATAATATAAAAAAAAAGAATTTTTATATGCAGAGTATCAATTGAATAGTAATAATACTAATAATTATTACAACAGTGAAATAAAATTTATTCTCTGGGAATGTAAGTATAAGTTCTAAGATGAAAAGTCACGGTATAATAAAATGTTTGCAATAAACTTAAAATTTGTCGCACGATCACCTCAATGTCGCGAATATTCTTCACCATTGACGCAGGTGCATCGGTCGCAAAACTTTTGAACGCGTCTAAAATTGGTCGATACCCAGTACATCGACAAATGTTGCCACCGAATGAGTTTTCGATTTGCTGCATAGACAACTTTTTGTCATGAATGAGACTGCAAGTTATAAATAACATATGCATTAACACAATTTTATACCAGCTTTTGAGTTCGAACGTGACTATCTTTATAATATCTTTACTTCAGTCAATTATCATAGTCACGTTGTGTGTAATTCTATATTACAATGCCAAGCATTCCAAGAAAATTTTAATTTGTTGTGAGAAGATTAAATACGTTCCAAATTTTACATTATTTCTTCATAAATTAATTGCTTTGTCGAAAAAAAATGCATACCTATATAAATTCATCACCATGCCGGGGGAGCAATATCCGCATTGCGAGCCGTTTTTGTCAGCAAGCGTAACTTGAATCGTATGATAACCGTCTCGCCTGTTACCTAAACTCTCGATCGTGCAAATGGCCCATCTGGAACATTATTTGAAACACAGATATATCAAACATTAATTAGTATTGGCATGAACTCGATAAATTCGGAAGGATTTTAAAAGACGAGGTAGAATATAAAAGAGTTTAACGCATTGAAGTGCAATTTCTGATGTCAAAGATGACAGTTCCTTAACGCCATAACCCGAATACTTCTTGCTCTCTTAAAAATTAAATTTAAACTATTTACTATGCATGAATTTTTCTGTTAATACTCGCATACCCGTCGCAGATCAGTATCGGTACAAGGCAGGAATTCACGGCCATTGTCTTGCCCTTGATTTCCACAGCCACAATACAGACGCCGCAGCCACCCTCGTGGCACATCGCCTTTGTGCCACGCAGTTTCGCATAATCGCGGATGTAAACGTTGAGTGACGTGCCACTCGGTATGCATCCTGATACTAGAATTTTGCAATCATAAAAAGTTGACATAGAAGTTCTGACTCTCTCCGTATAACATTCGTATATCGTTATCTTTTATTTCTAGAACTCGCCATTATAATTATAGTTATTAGTCAAATATTATAATTTCTGTCATAATATAAATTCCTTATGACTGAATGTGATGGTTTTTGTTGTGGTTGATAAATTCTAATAGTTTCTAAGATTATAATTACATTTTTATATAAAATGTTTGACTTCTGGAATTTTTGTTTTATCGTAATCTAATAAATTATTTCGCTTTTTGTATTATGAAAAATTTCTCATTTTTTAAATATAATTCAATTGATAAATTGTATATGAAGAGTACTTACCGGTATGCGGCACTCCATTGATCGTAAAGTTAATGCAGTTTCTTCTATATTTGGAACTAAATACAATTTACAATTAGATTGGATATCTTTTTGACATTATCAAGTGAAGAAGGATAGATAAATTTTCTAAGAAATTTTTCCATCCAGTTTTATACTGGATGATATAATACAAATAAATAGTTTGTGTTGAAATAAATCAAGGTTAGAGGAATCTAAATTTATAACGAAATTTTACTCTGGTCACTTATCGTAACTATACGTTGTAATAGTTTCCGTACATCATAAATTCTTAACAAATAAACTTACACTATTTCTGTTTGCATTTTCACTGGGCAATCGTGTCGATGCGATGTAGTAGAAGTAGGATTACGACTCACTATTTCCGTTCAAAGAGTGCTACTCGTTCTCATAGGATATATACATAACATATACTGTAATATAATGAGACAACGTACATATTTATATTTATGCTAAAAATGATAAAATTGAGAAGGCACACACACACACATATATATATATATATATATACATATATATATATAAAGTTATACATAATTCTCTTCAAATTATTTTGAACATTAAGTAAAATCCTTTGCATGTTAATAATAATAGTGTTTCGTGTGCGCGAAAATGAGGTATTGAAGTTTATTCTAAATAAATGAACAAAATTAATTTGGTTGGCTTGTCAATATACGTAACTATAACTTCAATTAGAAACCAATACGAGTTTAAGGCGCGGGTATATGTAATAAAATGACAGTACTTTCTTTAAATGGTTTCTTTTTTAATTGATCTCACCGTGTAAACGATGGACTCCCTAAACAGGTTTCGAGTTTTATTAAACTCCTTCTCCGTTGATAGTGCTTGGTGAACTGAGCGAGCGGAGTTCATTCGCTCGTTCAGAGTTTTCGGAATGTTTCCTTTCTCCTTCTTTTTTTCTCACAGGTTGTTTTTTTGACCAAACTGACATTTATTCTTACGTTAACTCGACGTTTCGACACTGGTTTTGTGTCCTTCTTTTTTTCTCATTCATTTTTGAATAGTGTTACGTCTACATCTCTATTACTAGATGTTTTCTTTTTGAACATTATTCATGTATCTCTATTGTAAGTATACTTTTATTATGAACAAGTAAATAAAAAAAATATTCGTTAAAGAATACTTTATTATAAGAATACTTTTAATATACTTTCTTTGAAAAAGAATTATTTTCAAATTTACTAATATATATGTATATGTATATGTATATATATATATATATATATATATATATATATATATATATATATATATATTTAGTAAGATAGAAAAAATTTTATAACTATCTAACAAACAGTAATACAGCACAGCATATATATATAGGCCGGTATTCATAGTCTTCAAGATTGTCTTAAGTAATGTCTTAAGACGCTAATACGGCTCTTATGATTGGTTCATGACATCTTAAGATTGAACTTAAGACGGTCTTAAATAACTATGAATACCGGCCATAAATACGAAGAATTTTTAGTAGTAGTACTATTTTTACTCCTATGTTTATACTTTCATGTGAACAAAGCTTCACATGAGATTCACCTGTACGCAGCTCTTGGTATGTCACTCAGTGTTACTAGGCGTCACCAGTATGTCGTTTAGCCAGTGTGTTAAAATAGTAATTTGTATAATAATGTATTCAGTTGAACAAATGAATAATAATAATCCTTGGCTCAAGGTTCAAGATGTCGTCGGCAATGCGAATACATGGCCAATTTATTCGAAAAATGTTTTGTAATAAAAATTTCAAAGATCATAATTGAATAATTATAGTAAATTTTTCGTATTTAAATGCAATTTTTGAAGAATTTTTGCATAAAATTTTAACATTCACTTTAAAAAGATGGGTTTCGTTATTTAAATCGCAAGGTAATACTTTTATTTTTTTATCACTATATTAAATATGTATATTTATTAAATATTTTTCATAAATTTGTAGGAATTTGGACAAAATCGACGTAGTCGTTTGCAGCTACAGTGTCTATTTCAAAGAAATGTTGGATTTAAATTTTGAACCACGTAAAAATTATTAATAAAGTAATAATTATTATAATATATCTATACTATTATTTCAATTAAATAGTTAAAGCAGACAACAGTTTAGATAAAAGCTTTTGGGTAAAGCAGAGAATATTTTGTATTCTTGTTTCCTAACCACATAAAATTGCGTATACTTATTGTATATTTTTCAATGTATGAACTATATTCTCTGCTTTACATGACTTTCCTTCGTTCATACTTAACCTATTTCCACATACATATTATAGTCTATCAATACTCAAAATAATTGCTGTATTTTTCAAACTTTTTTTGTTAATAACTTTTTAACGAATAATGACCGAGGACTAAAACCTTCTGAAAGTCACTCTGAAGGGTGACCTTGACAATACATGTCAAGGTCAAGGTCATCAGAGAGTGGTCCCCCATACTGCATAATTACTAAACAGAGATACATGAAGAATATTCAAGAAGAAATAATTAAATATTGTACAGAAATGCATCATTCTCAAAAGTGCGCGCCATTCAATTTTTTTAAAAGATGGGACATATTGATGAACATAGATAAGAGCAAATAAATTCTACAGTTTTATTTAGTTTATTCCGAACCATCATCAACTGAGGACATCGGTATTGAGGAATTTATATATGATGAGTTCAATTGGCAGGAACTATTTCAAGAGAAAATTGTCATTTTATCGGATGTACATCCGCGCCTTAATCTCGCATTCGTCTCGCATTTAAGCTAAAATTAAGTCTTTCTTGAAATGTTCAAAAGAAATTATTTTCTAGCTTTATTTTAAAGATAAGAAATTAAGCAGTATTGTATCTTTTAATTTGTGAATCTTTTTAATAAGAGGTACAATATTTGCAAACAATATATTGGAATAAAAACTTGATGAAAAATGCATTATCAAGAGTCAATAGTCGTCGAGTATCTTATCTTAAATTGTTTATGTCTGAAATGCTTTAAATACATAATGATTCAATTATACTTAAATAAAAAAATAGAGTATTAAAATATATACATATAGAAGTATAAAGAGTTCGAAAAGGATAAAAAATGAAGTTAAATTTAATAGTTTCGTCCTTGCGTGAGGCGTGACGTGAATAATTTAAATAAGATTACTTTAGGCAAACAAAACAATATGAGAAAGCGTACGCAATGCCGCGGAAAAGATATATGGCATTTTATTTCATTTTGCGGCAACGGCTCGGCGCCACATTAATTAATTTTGCAAATCAAATTATTAGGATGCTAGGTTTCCACTCATTCCACTCATTTTTACTGCCTCCTTCGAGCATTTTAATGAGAATATTGTAGACAAAGTTGATGTCTTTATAATCCCTGCTTAGTATGATAATAATTGTTTCTATAGATTTTTTCAAGACAGAGTTAACATACTTTTATTATTGGTTACAATTTTTATTTAAAATATACCTTATTGTACATATTATAATTACATACTACAGATATATTGATGTCATATTTAATATATAGCACATCAGTGAGGTTTAATGGAATATTTATGCTGATATGTGTGTGCTACAAATGAGCAATATGCTAATTATGTAATATGTTAAATAATGGAATTATTTAACATGAAAAAGAAGCTATGGTTTAGGTTGGCGTTCTACGGAGCGGATCAGCGGAGCGCCAATCACAGAATCGCTTCGACGGAATTTTTGAAAGGGCTTAGTTCCGCTTCCGCGTAATCCGCTTCATGGAACGCCAGCTTTAGTTATATTAAAAGCCTATTAATTTTTTTAAATTAAATTATCATGTTTCCACTATTACCGTGAAAATTTTCGCATCAGCAAAACATGAATACGTAAATTGTTGCCTTTCTATAAGACTTTTAAATTTATTCCAATTAGATATACAGTGATTAAAAAGACGAATGACGGTAATTACGGAATTTATTTAAAACACTGGTTTAGTCATAAATGATTCATACTTTTGCTCTCAAAGCACCATGCTATCTTTGTTGGTTAAACTGGTTAGAAGTATGCGTTCAGTGGGGTGCACGGGGGGGGGGTCCATCTGCATAAATTGCGAATCAGAAATGAATATATATTATAACATTATTTTGTAATAATAATAACAATAATAATTTATAAGGAAATATGCATTTATGCACTAATAATTTACAAAAAAGAAATTTTTTAAAGGAAACTCTGAGTCATCCACCTAATTCTAAAATAACATATTTATATATTGTTTTATTTTTTACAACAGTTAAATGTTTTTATCTGAATTTGAATAATATATACCGTGATTAATATTAGCTGTAGATTTTATGGTTTCAAAAACAACGATAAAAAATAATTGGATCGTAAAATCTGATAATTTTTTTTTAATTGCCTCATTTAAGTGTCTCTTTCATTTGAGTTTAAAAAAGGAATAAAAAAGGGAAGAAGTAAGATTGTAAAGGTGCTAAAAAATCTTTTTTTAAATATAAGTATACGTTAAGGTAGATTGACATTTAAACACTTGTTGCAAAAATCCACTGCAAATCTAACAATAAGTGTGTTATTTTTACACGCATAAACGTCTAAAAATGAAAATTTGACTGAAACTCTTTTCAAATGTTTATATGTTAAATTACATCATTTAACATATTTAATTGTATTAAATTAAAAATTAATATATTCAATTGTGTTAAATGATTTAAAACGGCAAGAAATGTGTGAGAAAAACTTCAGCTAAAATAACACACTTGGATTTGCAGTGTTGAAGTTAATTTGATTTATAAGTTAGGTGATTCTTGTTGTACATTGTCAAGGATTTATGCGTTTCATACCTCTGCTTAAAACTTACCCAATCGATACCACTCATCCGTATTCCCTACCTCCGCTCTAGCGGAATTCAACGCGTTGCAGATTGCGATCGGAATTACGTAACTCATACAAAGCGGTGGTTCACCGGTTGCTGCAAAAAAGTTTGCACAATTAATCGGTTTTTGAACATTTTCACTTTTGATTTCACCTTTATAGTTAGACTGATTCTTTTCTGTATTTATTAAATTTATCTTATTCAGACCACGTTAAATAAATCACAGTGAAACGCGTATCTCATACATAAATCCATTAAATTTTTATGTATTTAAAAATTCTTGCAAAAGGATTTCCAAAAGTTTCTTAATTGTATGCGAACATGTAGAAAATATTTTTTGTTTTTGATTGTAAGTGGAGATTCGAGAACAAAAGGATTTATGGAATAGGTATTCGATCTCACCTTTTGATCGAAGAACACCAAATGTGTGTTGACCGAGTCTTTAGGAATAAGTATCCTTTCCTCCTGGTGGTTTATAATTCTACGATGAAAATACGATACTTTAAATAATTTGATTATTTATGTCTAATACAATATTAGTGGAACGGAATTTTATAATCTATAATCTCGTTACTATAAGGACAAAAGATTATTATTCTTTTTAAATGAATGTTCTACGAAATAATATCGGAAAAATGTCACAATGCGCCGTTACATGGTCACGTGCGTGACGTGACTTTTTGTTATGATTTATAATGATATTTACATATGACGTGCGCATAAATCAACGTCCTTCTGATACGCGGTGAAAATGACATCCTGCCAGCTCGGGTTTCTTGTCTTATCGGTCCGAGTCTCTTCAGAATCTCTTTGCAGGCTTGGATCGTTGCCTAGAAAGAAATGCAATAATCAAAAGTACAACAACAAAAGTGACAAAAGTTACCGTTGTTGCCCGAGTGTTTTGAGTCAAAATATTACTAACTAATGCAATGTTATATATGCATTGCATTATATTTAAAGTGTTTTAATATAGTTATGTAAATTCTTACATATGTGCAGCAGTCGCTAGTAATACTGGCTACGGTAACCACGTTGTTAGGTGTTATTATATTAATGCTTGGTTTGACGCTGATTAAGTCTAGATCGATTCCCAACGTGTAAGCAGCTACTTGAGCGACCTGAAACAGATATTTTTACGATTAGAAGAACAGACAAGTAAAGTTAATTGTTTATTTTGTATACCATAAATGGCAATTGGATAAAATAATCCATAGAAATCTTTGTATAATATTATGAACTCCACTGTGTGTGCGAAGCTTTGAAATCACATTCTCCGGTTCGACGCTCGACAAATTTATAGAATAATCCTTCGGCAAGAGTCTTGCGGAATTCCGGCGAATAATTCGGCAGTACATGATCAGGTTGCACTTCGTTATGCAACGTTTCCAAGGCTGTCTTCAGCACTATAGCTTGTCGAGGATAGATTTACCCATCAACAGTTGCTCTGTCTTCTTTGCGTACAAAAAATGCTCATTGATGCCACCGAAGATGATGTTAGGTGAGGAATATGTTTCCGCCCAGTGACTCGTTATTAGTTTTTCCGATGCGACGCAAGTCCCGGATGTCGTTTATATCGATGCGGAGGTCGTTCTACCTGCCCGATAAACACCTGCAGAATTATGTTCTCAGTATTGTGTATTTTTTATCTAGATGTGCAAACAAATGCACTGGTGGTATTATTCAATATTGATTGCACTGTTGATTGAAATTAACGAAAATTCAGAAATTTTGTTTTAATACCACATGTTTGCATTCGCGATCACAATTATTCAAGCGAATAGATTATTTACTGAATGGAAATACAGGAATAAATATACAGGATGTTTTTTATCTACCGTATTATTTTTTAATAATACATTTAATAGTTGAAAAGATGATGTGACAAAACAGTTTTCATATTGTCTCTATATTTAAATACCAGAAATGTATATTTTTTAATGTAAATATATCAAAACCCGCGATGTGAAATAAATATTGATTTTTTTAGATAAGAAACATTTATTTGTATAAATTTCTAAAAAAGAAAGCTGTATAATTTTCTATAAAATAGTATTATCATTCATATATTATGATAGGTATATTATAAATACTATGTCAAAAATCATGTTATTTTTTAAAGGACTTTAATAGATCTAGAAGAGTTATCTCAAAATTGCCATATACATTATATACTTTTTACATCAATTTGTTCCTATATCGTGCATGTGAAAGACAAATTGCCTTAGGCTGTGTTTCCGCCGTTTAATATAATATACGTTGCATCCGGTTTCTGTCGAGATATCACAAATAAATTTTCGATCGAATAAACTTTATAAAATTCCGCGTCCGTCAACTTTATATCCAACGTTTCCATATTTTTATTTGAGAAATGTCTATCGGCGCATTTGCTTCTGCACGGTATTCCGTTCTTCGGGCAGGTTTTGATCTTGTATTATAGATTTTCCGCGATATTTATTATTTATGGTAACATTTAAAGACGATACAAGAGTGTTCCATAATATCAGTAAAGTAATAGTTACAGTTATACACATAAAACAGTATTCTGTATGAAAGTAGAATAACATTTTAATAATAATGTTTGAAACACAAAAATGAGACTTTTACAAATAAAATAAAATATTTCACGATAACACCTCAATACAAACAGACAAACTGACGCCTGCTTTCCAAAAAATAGTATCGTGCTTCTTGACACTTTTCCTTTTTTTCCATCTTCAAGAGCGTCGAAAGACGCATTGAATTGTCAAATATAATTACGGTAATAGGTAGGCATCGTTGCAACTTAACCGTCTGCAAAGAACTACTTATTTTCTGGCAAAGACTCGCGCTTCCGCGTCGGAATCCGCGATGCCCTTTTTGATTGCGTCCGGAAATGGATTGCGTCCGGTAAGGTCGGTGCAGGCCTGCTCGAATGGTCGCTGTATGTCACGCACGCGCAGGTGGCATCAATTATGAAAATTTTAATTCTTTTTCGTAATTAGTGCCACTCGCGAGTACAATGGCTCTTAACTTTCTCATCTGGGGAAAAAAAAGAAAGACAATGTATAAAAAATTGTCAGACACGAGAAGAAAATCTCGTTTTCATGCAATACATACGCTATCCATTCTTTGTTTCCAGTCCTTTTTATCGTCACCCATAGTAAGGATATTGTCAATCTATTCTCGACGAACGATCTTGAACGAAAGATCCATGCATCTATTCTTCAAGATCCTTCGTCGAGAATAGATTGACGGTAGGCACGTCCTCGAACGAAGTAATAAAGCATTCTTCGTCGACGGCTCCGGCTTGCGCTGAACAGATAATGATCTGAACAGATAGTTTTCTTTATATTCACTTCAATGCGGATATGTACACGTGCGCTAAAGAATAACAATTGTTTATAAAAACTATACTCTTCATGCTTTACACTTTCAGAAACTATCAGTGAATATGATACTAATTTTAAAAGTTACACAGATTGCTGTGAACAGTGCTCAAGCGATCGCGAAATGCATTACAGATTAACAAAAAATGATGATTGCACGTGATAATTGTTGGGATATATGGATTTCACTGGAATAAGTGTGAACCACGTGTTAAAGTGAAAGAGAAAAAAGAACACTTTATTTGAGTCACTTCTGACACAAAACAAAAAATATAGTTCTAACAGTGTTCGCACAAATGTAGTGAATGGTTCACTTATAAACAGTTTAAACAATAAACTTTGATTGCGCCGATATTCGCCGATAAACGAAATTTTACTTCTCGCCGAACCGCTACACGTGTTGTCTTTACGCAAGCAAGTGTGTAGAGATTCTAAACGTGGATGATCAAGCGCCCTTATTGATATTGATTGATACCAGCAGAGTGCGTAACTTGCCGGGTTACGATTACATCAGCGCTCACTTTCATCCATCGGGAAATTGCGCGCTTTACGAAATTACTTATTTTTAACAATAATAAATAAGCACTGTGTGTAATTACATGTAAAGTTATAGAGATGAAAAGCGTATGACTGATCAAAAAGCAATAATGCGCAGGGCATTCATTGTTCTAATTGGGAAGAAATTGATATATAATAATTTATTGACACTCTGTGTGTTACTGAAATTAATTGGCATCTAGGGTTTTAATAAATTATATCGACAACGCGATTATCTATGCAATTATTTTCTCTCGATCGGAAATATCTCCGAATTTTTTTCAAAATCTTTTCCAGAATAGTAATTGCCAATACTAGAATTTAGATATACCTGTTGTCGATCTTACTGACAGAGCTTGATAGTTGTTGCTCTTGGGACTGTGTTGGATGAAATACCAGAAGGAGCTGTTTCATGCAAGCGAACAGTTAGCGTATTCTCGTCATCGAAACGTCAACATAACGTTGACCTTTTGCTGGCAAGTTTCTCTGGCAATGTATTGTTAACAAAATGCAGAAGTGAAGCCGCAGTTGCGGTTAAAACTATGCGTAAGTAAGGATTACGGCATCCCATGTGCGCCTCGTTTGACGAGAGACCGATGCTTCTATGACGTCGAATCAATACTGAGTCACATATGACATTCATATACATTTCGAATGGAACATAGAGACACATCTCAGGTAAAAATACACGAGACAATTGCTCACATAAAAAGCTCGGATTTATACGACACAAACTGGCAGTGCTACTATGTATTATCGTTTCATACAAGTGAAAGATATCGATGTTTAACATTGACATTCTAGCCAAATACGACACAAATACGTCTACTTTTTATAAATTATAAAAATAACTCGTTCCACGTATTTACATATATTTACATATATTGCTACTTGTAATTTTCGCATCAACAGCTACTAACGGAAAACGATTTTAGAGAAACTTGCTTCACTGTTGTTCTACTCTTGTCATATATATCATGCTTAAAATAAATAAAATAATTTAGAATATCAGATTGACGATGTAAGTCGCAATAGTAATTAAGTGACATAGTGAGAAGGTGACATGTGAAATACATTCGGTAATATTTGAATATACCTAAGGCAGAGGATGGTGTTTTAGCGGGCCCAAATTGATCTCTTCTCGAAGGCATGTTCAGCTTCTTAACGGGAGCCGATTTGATCTGCAATAGACATTTTTTTCTTTCAAGATGTTATTTCTATTTATAAACATGCAACGAAGCTGTCTTTCGGATTCTACACTTACCGCTCTATCGGTTTCGTCGCTATCTTTGCCAACTGAAACAAAAGAGAAAGAAAATCGTCACAATCGTGATTCACGCACCCTTTCTTTCTACACAGTTCCAAAAATAAATTAAAAGGTTTAGAAATTGCACATACTTGAAAAAAATACATGTTAAATATTTAAAAGCAAAATAATAATCTAGAGAAAATAACATTTTACTATGCCCTACAATTCAGATTCCATCGATATCGTCTGATTTTGTAATAAAATGTCACAATGTAGGTTTTCAATAAATAAAAATTATCACTGCTACATAAAAACATCTATGTATATCATGAATTAATATATTACAACTTTACGTCACAAGATCGTTCCTTCGCGCAGCAGAATCAATTCATATACCTAAATCTGGATACAGCCAAGGTGGCTTGTGGATGTCGCAGTGACATCCTCTTGCCCTTGCACCCGGATGCTTCACTCTAATATCCCATATTGCAGTATCCACTTGCTGCTCGCGTGCCACAATTTCTTATCGATACTGGGATATTTATTTAATCCCCGATGCAGGCAACGATGCCCGCACGATATCAACACGTCGGCGTCGTTCATCGTGATCGATGTGCACGATACTTTAGTCAGCATGGCAAGGATAATGTACCTCAATATCGCGGATGTCTTTCATCAGTGATGGTGTTGCGTCACTGGTGAATCCCTTGAACGCGTCCAAAATTGGTCGATTAACACAGAAACGCTTTCAAAAATCCAGGGTGTCCGGATGAGTGCTCTAAATACACGGTATCCGCGCAATGTTAATAATTAATTATTTTGGCACGCATACGCCGGATACGTACGTAATTCATGACCATGCCGGGAGAACAATATGCGCATTGCGAACCATTTTTGTCAGCGAGCGTAGCTGGAATCGTATAACGATAACCATCTTGCCTGTCACCTAAACCTTCGATCGTGCAAATGGCCCATCTGAGAAATTATTTGATTCACAGGTATGTCCAACATTAATTAGTATATAAACTCGATAAGCTCGGAAGTTAAAAAATGTAGAATAAATATAAAAAAGTTTAACGTATCGAAAAACAATTTCTGATATTCTGATGTAAAAGATGATAGTTCCGTATAAACACTATAAGACAATAATTCTCACTATTTTGTTAAACATGATATACAACTGTGCAATTTCTCTATTAATGCACTCATATCCGTCGCAGATCAGTATCGATACAAGACAGGACTTCACAGCCATTGTCCCGCCCTCAATTTCCGTAGCCACCCTCGTAGCACAGCGCTTTTGTGTCGCGGAATTTCGCATAATCGCGGATATAGACATTGAGGGAAGTGCCAGTTGGTATGCATCCTGATGCGGGACATGACTTTGCAATCATGAAATCGACAAAGAAGTTATAACTCTCTTCATGTAACATAAGTACGAATCGCGTTATCTTTTATTTCTAGAACTCGCCATTATAAATTAAGTCTTATAATCAGATGCCATAATTTCTGTTATAATATAATTAATTCTTTATGACTGAATATGATCACAATTAGATATTTATAAAGTATTTGAATTCTGGAATTTCTTTATTGTCATTTAAATCATTTCGCTTGTAAACGACTCCAAAATCAATCATTTCAAAGCCATTTATCACATTTTTACATATTATTAATATATTATATGTCAAAAATAATATATTTTTAAATAACATAATTTTTACAACAGATTTACACTTAAATACTTTAAATTGGGATTACATTTTTTTTTCCTAAGATTTTTACGTGAAGTAGTTACAGTAACATTAACTTATGCCATTGTAATCTTATTGTTAGCTACAAAAATTATATATACCATTTTAACAGTATTAGATATCTTACATATTGCTTTACATTTATACCCACAGCAGCACTTTATTTCAATCATTATATATTTTTCTTTATAACGTTGTTTCTTAATATGTATAATTCTAAAAATTTGTATAATTAATGAAATAAGATGTTACATACAATTTTTAATAAATATAACTTAAGCAAATTTATTTTATAAACAGAAAGCAATTTAAAAGAATAACTTGACAGAATGCGAACTACCATGACATAGTCGTTATTATTGCATGCAATCCATTGTTATGGAACGCTTTCTATCACTATCACAGTAAGGTTGTGTTCTTATCACATTAAATGCAGAAAGACCTTTATTTATAAAAATTAAAAATAAAAATAGCCCGAATGGACGTGTATGAAAGAAAAACATTATAACGTACGCGCGTGAAACAGCAAATTATATAATGGAATATAATAAATCATACCTAAAGATAACACTACGTCCGAATGTAAAAAATTTCAGAAAAAATAAGAGTTACGTCTGGCATGTCATCTTTTCGCGTGTAACGTATCGTGCATAATGTAAATAACGTTATTCCCAACGAATGGAATGTCACAAGAGTGGCGCGTATAGTATGAAAAGAATTTTGTCGCGGGAAGTTTTTTATTTTGCGGCAAAAACGATGCACTTTGCACGTTAGTTGATTTTGCGAATCAAACTTTCTAGCATGCTTCAATCTCGTTTCATTCTATTGTTTTGTCCCTCTTCCTCATGCGCTTTTAGACGCAAAAAACACAAAGGACAAAGGATGTGCTTACGTATGATAATCATTGCTGCAGATTCTTGGGAAAAAGGTAAAGAATTTATATTCAAGTACTGTATTTACAACATATTTTATACTATGTTATTATCGATATCAATTATACACTACAGATATTGTTGTAATATTTTCTATATATAAGTTCATCACAAGTATTAAAAATATTTACTATAAAACAGAAGTTGTATCTTATTGTTAATTATGTTTAAAACCTAATAACTAACTAAATTATCTTGGTCCCGTTATACCCTAAAACCTCATGTAAACTTCTATTCTAGTTAAGAAAATAAACCGAACACAAATAAATATAAGATTATTTTAAACACAGTTAATTTGTAAATCTCATTTTTATTCTCACAGGACCATATTATCCTTGCTGGTTAAACCGTTTAGAAGTATACGTTCATTGGTGTACGGAGGATCTGCAAAATTATAAAAAATAAATAAGTACATATATTATTTAACAGTATATATTATAAGAAAATGTTCACAGACTGTGTAAAAAAAAGAAGAAACAGAGAGAGAGAGAGAGAGAGAGAGAGAAGGGGGGAAGAGGAAGAGATCTTACATTTTGCGGCGAAAAATGATTTACATTTATTGAAAAAAATGCACAAATTAAAGCAAGTCGCAAAATTAAATGACTTTTCCTGTATATTATCAACTCATACAAATCTACTGTTTACATCCATGCCCTTAAGACTTACCTAATTGGTACCACACATCTTTACCTCCCGCCTCCGCCCTAGCGGAGTTCAATGCATTACGTATCGCGATCGGAATTACGCAACTCATGCAAAGCGGTGGTTCGCCAGTTGCTGCAAAAGAATTTTTAGAATTAATATAGGTATTCGATTTTTCAATCTTCTCAGATCTAGTATATCTCTTATGATAGAGAGAATTTTTAATTTTAATTTAAGAAGAGCGAGATAAAATTATAAATTTCAAATTCTTTGTAATAGTTAGATTCTTGTATTCCATTTGATGTATTTTTTTTTTAATATTACTTATCACGATTAATGATATGATTAAGAAACTCTTCAAACCTCTTACGTGTGTTTTAAAATTTTTGCAAAGAGATTATCCAAAAGCTTTCGTATGCGTACGTAGTGAATATTCAGCTCTTGTTACATATTCATTTAGAAAATATTCAAGTTTTGTTTTTATTATAAATGGAGATTCGAGAACGCGAAAGGATAAAGATTTAGATTTCACCTTTTGAACGAAGAACACCAAATGTGTTGACCGAGTTTTTAAGCAAAGTTATGCGGAAATCCTCAGGAATATCCTTCACTCCTGGCGGTTTGTAATTCTACGACAAAAATAAAATTCTTTCAATAATTTAATCATTTATATGTACATATCAGTGAAACGGAGCAATTGTATCTTGGTGCTATTAGCTGTATCAAAACTGAACGAAGATAACATACCCAGGTTCTGTCACTCGTTAATACTCCTGTTTTAGGGTCGTACACTAGATCTTCAGAAGTCCAGTATCCTATTCCCATTACGAAAGCTCCTTCCACCTGACCGACGTCGACCTCCGGATTCAAGCTTACCCCGGCGTCTTCCATCAAATCGACCCTCCTGATAATATGCTGGCCGGTTAACAGATCGATTTCAACTTCGGCAATGGTAACACCGTAAATGGGATAAGGCTTGAGCGTGTCATCCTGCGTGGGCGCGTACCTGGGTGGGGGTAAGTGTAATGCATCATATTTAATGGAACAGAAAAATTCAAATTAAAATAATTTTGATAACGATATTGTTCAAGTTCATTCAGAAAATACAGATGAGATATTTATATAAGCTGCACAATTTATCACAAGCTACTAAGTCTTACAAAAAATATGGTAATTATTTTTTTCGAATAAAAAAACGGTATCTTGTCGGAAAGATGTTAAAGAGTTAGATGACATAATATTTGCGCATAATAATAATGTATTATTATTGTGTTAAATGCAACTTAATAATGCTTACATATGACGCGCGCATAAATCAACATCCTTTAAATATGCAGTAAAAACAAGTTCCTGCCAGCTTGGATTCTTCATATCTTTTTTTATCGGCTCGAGTCTTTTTAGGATTTGTTTGCAGGCCTGAATCGTGGCCTAAAATCAATGCAACGATCGTTTTTATTAATCAATTTATTATGCATGAAATTGCGTTATTTTCCGAAGCATTGGAGACGGATTAAATAGTGTTCTTACATATGCACTGGCCTCGCTAGTAATACTGCCTCCGGTAACCGTATTGTTGGGCGTTATTATATTATTGGTTGGTTTGACGGTGACTAAACTTAGGTCGATACCGAAAGTGTAAGCCGCCACTTGCGCAACCTAAAAAGAATATTATTTTTATATAAATAAAAATAAAATACAAGCAACTAATTAATTATTTGCAAAATGTAGGTGATTCAAAAGAAAATTATGAACGTCTATAAATAACTCTTTCGAATCCATTTAATTCTGCTTAATGACATTATTAATTATTAATTCAATAATTTAAAAAATTTTATTGAATTTAATAAGATAAATTAGGAAATAAACTTCACATTTGCAACGTACCTTGGTATTTATACCTTGGCCGCATTCAATGCCACCGTGCGTCACGCAAACTGTACCATCGCGAGCGCAGACGGACACCATAGCATTGAACTGACCAAAATATCCGAATGGATATTTCATAGGTACCAGGGCAATACCCTTTTTCTTCCAGCGATTCTCATTGTTGAACGTCTCAACGGCCCGCTTCCGCATCTCATAATCGGCCGATTTCGACAAATCCTTTATCATGGATTCTAACGCGGCCTTATCCACGTCGTTCATGTTAGCCAATCTGACCTTTAGCGGATCCTTTTTCGTCACTTTCGCGATGTGTTCCATTATATTTTCAGTCATGGCCACTCCTTCCGTGGATCCTGGCGCTCGACAGTATGTGTTTGACGGTAAATCGGTTCGCACTTCGTACCCATTGAGGGTCCAATTGTCGTTAATGTAACAACTGTAAATAATTGGTAACAATAATTGTTATCGGGTACAAACGTGGAAAATTAATAAAATTAACAAGTCTATTAACAAGTTGTAGAGCATTTTAATATTCAATTTTATTTGATAAACTAATTTCTCAATCACAAGTAACTACTTTAATTTTCTAAATAAACTCTGTAAAGTTAAAAAATTATATTATAATATTGAATAAAATTAATTTTATTTAGATGAGTATTATTATCGATATAAAATATAAGATGTATTTTTATTATATTGTATATACATTATATTTATTATATTGTATATACAATATATTGTATTACTGATTATATTGCTGTATCTTTGATGCATACCTTCCGATATGATGCACTACGACAAAAGCGTGGGGATCGTTGAAGTTGAGGCCGCAGTTGCCCCAATGTTTCGAGTCGAGATATTGAATAACTCCCTCGTCATCTACCCCGACTTCGTATTCTTGGCGCGTAGCAACTCTTTTGCCCTGCGATTGCATATTGCTCTCGATAGTCGTGATGAATCGCGCTGGGCGATTCAATTTGTGACATACCAACGCGCAGGTACATGAGACTGCCGCGTTCCGCGAGATTTTTGAACCGTATCCACCGCCGATTCGCCTCACGGAGACATTGATACTACGATAAAAATTAAATTCAAGCAATTATTACGCTAATTAAATTTTATTTCCGGCAATCTCTTTTAATTAATTTTTTTTTTTAGAAGAGGTAGAAACATGCCCACTTTGATTAATTCCAATTTTACACCGAATAATCTGTTTTATTAACTTCATCAGAACGTTCACTAAAATCCGGTAGACTAATATTAAATTAGTTATGATATGAAATTTCAGTATAAGTGATTAAAGCTCAGTTTTTTAGGAAAACGTGTGCGTGTGCATGTATTTCGGCACAGTTTGTGTAAAGTTAGAACTATTAATGATACTCTTTTCTAGACAATCGCGAGAGATTAATAAATTACCTATTATTTTTAACACCAAGGACATTTGCAATCGATACTTGAATGAGATCTGGCCATTGCGATGTTGGATAGACGTCCATACCGTCCTCCGCAGGAATGCATACGCAGGCCTGAGTTTCCATGGGATAGTGATACTGAGGGCCGGCTTGAAAAACGCCCTTTATCGTATGTTTAACATTCTTTCCTATAAAATAACAGCAAATGTTTATAACAGGAATGCTATATATTATTTCACTATATCATTTCTGCGCAATTCTGACGATTAGCAGCAAGCTATTTATACGATTTCCCAATTATGCAGATAATATAAATTCCTCAAGTTGCAGTTATTTTTATTCTTTTTGATTAATAATCGTATGGTCGATAATTTTCAATCCTATTTTCTATCTCGAGTGTCACTTTCCCTACCTTTCTTTTTCGCTGGAACGCTCATGCTATGCATGAATCTGGTCTCGTCTTTCGTGGCGATCGCATCCTCAACGGTTATCACCGGCTTTCTCTTCAGGGTCTCCGTGTATTTGATTTCCACTAATTTTGCGGCTTCATTGGCCAGATTATGCGTCTCGGCGACGATCACGCCGACCGGCTGACCGGCACAGAGTACTTCCTTTTCGGCGAACAACAACTCGTCATTTATCAACATCATCAACTGACTGGCAGCCGAGATACACAAATTCTTGCCGGGTATGTCTTGAGCGGTGAAGAACGCCACTACCCCCTTCATGGCAAGTGCCTTGCTCGCATCTATGCTGTTTATTTTACCATTAGCGACTTTTGTAAGTACGTAAGCGCAGAATACTTCTCCAGGATACGGTGGTAGATCATTGCAATACTGAGCCTCGCCCGATGTTTGCTGGATCGCCTCCAACTTTACCGTAGGCTTGTTCACTGGCCATGTATTTTTGTCCGTGTCATAGTCCTGCGTGCCTGTGTAATCAGATTTTTTTCGATTAAGAAAATTAGTCAAAGCATTTTACAATTTAAAAGCGAACGCTAGATATATTTTTCAATTTTTAATTGGTTTTATTTTTTAAGAAAACAAAACGAATTTGAATCCTCGTGGACGTAGAAATTCTTAACAATGTATATTCTTAAAAATTTGATCGCCTTCATGCCTACCTGAAGAGAGATCTCGTTTTAACAAGGAACCTCCACTGCGAAGTTTTGAATTTAAATTCTCCGGCTTGATGCTCAACACAAATTTATAGAATAATCCTTCGGCAAGAGTCTTGCGAAATTCCGGCGAATAATCCGGCAGCACATGATCAGGTTGCAACTCGTTATGCAACGATTCCAAGGCTGTCTTCAGCACTTGCTTGTCAAGGATAGATTTACCCACCAGCAGTTCTTCTGTTTTTTTCGCGTGCAAGAAATGCTCATTGATGCCACCGAAGATGATGTTAGGCTTCTCTAGCACCTTCGCATGAAATATTGTGAGTATGCTGAACGAGTGACTAATGATATGTGTAATATGTGTATAATATAATTCGAAAAGATTTTTTTACCTTGCCGCCGCCGTCGAGTTTGAAGAGGAAACCAGCGTTGATGTGCGCATGGGCGTTCTGGGCTCTAGGCATGATCTTGTAAGATCTGTATTCGTAATCGTCGGATAATGCTGGCAACACCACGCTATAGATTATCTTGTGACGCATATCTGTCTTTAAAAAATCCTGCAGCATCATGTTTTTCTTGACGCCCGGTGCCTCGAGGATATGTATTTGAGTACCGGCTGTCTCCAGCATCAAGAACAAATCAGATGGAAATTCATTGTGTGCGTGCTTAATCATCAGATTGCCGGCGATGCTGCCGATGTTACGCACGGGCACGCTGGCAATTAGATCGATATGATGGGCCAGGTGATGCAGGTATTTAAATCCGTTCTCGGACGAGTACTTCTGAAAGGTCTCCATCGCCGTGGTGAGGGATATGCTTCCACCCAGGGTCAGCGACTCATTAGTTTTTTCGATGCGACGCAAGTCTGGGATGTCGTTTATGTCGATGTGGAGGTCGTTTTTGCCCACCCGATAAACACCTGCAGAATTATGTTCTCAGGATTGTGTGCATATTTTTTAATTTACATCTGCAACTAGTACTATTATTCAATATTGATTTCTCGTTGATTGCAATTAACGAGAATTCTGAACTTTTATTTTAATATCGCGTGTTTGGCATCGCAAAATCGCTATCACTCAAGAGAAAATATTATTTGTTAAATGAAATTAATAGATACACAGACAGGATATTTTATATATACCGTATTATTTTTCTATGAGAATTTAATTGTTGAAAAAATGATGTGGTGATGTACTTTTTATATTGGTTTTGTATTTAAATAGAAATGTATACTTTTTTATTTAAATATCAAAGCCCGCAGTATGAAACCATGAAGTAAATATTAATTTTTATGATAGATAAAAAGCATTTGTTTGTTTATATTTTTAAAAAAACTATATAAAAAAGCGTTATTAATTATAAATATATTATGCTATGTCATGAATTGCTATGTCAAAAATTATATTATTTTCGGAAGGACTGCAATAGATCTAGAAGAGTCATCAAATTGCTATATACATTATATATTTTTTTGTATTAATTTATTTTTATATCGTGCAAGTAAAAGGCAAATTACCATGCGCTGTATTTCCGCCGTTTAATATATACGTTGCATCCGGTTTCTCTTGAAATACCGCAAATAGATTTTCGATCGAATAAACTTTATAGAATTCCGCGTCCGCCAACTTTATATTCAACGTATTTCCATCTGTAAAATGTTTATCGACGCAATTGCCTTTGCACGGCATTCCATTCTTCGGGCAGGTTTTGATTTTGTAGATCTCCTGCGAATTTCATTATTTTATTCATGATAACATTTAGACGCTACGAGGAAGTGTTCCATAAAATCAAAGTAATAGCTACAATTGTACATCACGTAAAACAGAATTCTGTATGAAAGCAGGATAAAATTTTAGCAATAATTTGGGAAATACAAAAATGAAACTTTTGCGTATAAAATAAAATATTTGGCGCGGGCACCTCAATATCGCGAATGTCCTTCACCAGCGATGGGGGTGCGTCGCTGGCAAATCCCTTGAACGCGTCCAAAATCGGGCGATAACCCGTACACCGACAAATGTTACTACCGAAGGAATTTTCGATTTCCTGCATAGTTAATTTTTTGTTCTGGATAAGGCTGAAAATTACAATAATAAAGTGCATACATGTAAATGTTATTTACATGCTCTTAGACTTATGCATTGCAACATTTAAGTGTAATATGTTCACTTCGCGCATCATTATTTGTGTAGCTTAAATTTATGGTTTGGTTATACGTTATTTGAGATTTGATAATTTTTTTTACTAATCACATATTTGCTAATTTTTCTGAGATATTATATGTTGCTCGTGTAGAAACTATACTCGTTTACTATAACGCCGAAAATTTCCAAGGAATTTTATAGATTTAAACCTGATGTATTATTTCATTAATGTAACAATTTTAATTAATGCGTATCATTATTCATGCATATAGTTTTAATTTACGATTTGCTTATATATACCATTTGATTTTTTATAATTTTGATTTATGACTTATTTGTTAATTTTTCTCAGATATTATGTGTTGTTTGGTAGAAATTTACTACAACGACACAATTTCAAAAAAAGTTTTTATATTTGATTGTATTATTGTATCATTTTTTAAATATAATAACTTTAATTAATTTTTTTATACACACACCTGTAAAGATTCATTACCATGCCAGGAGAGCAATATCCACATTGAGAGCCATTTTTCCCCGCGAGCGCAGATTGAATCGAATGATAACCATCTCGTCTATTTCCTATACCTTCGATCGTGTGAATCGTCCATCTGCGAATTTATTTGTGGATACGGGCATCATATAATACTAATATAAATTCCAATAAAGTTAAAAAAAGTTAAAATAAAAGGATAGAAGAAAGTTTAACGCATATCAAAAATCTTTTTCTAGCGAGAAAAGACGTGTAACGTCATAAAATAAATATTTATCTCTTTAACGTGAAACTTGAATGTAACTTCTCGATTGATTCACCCATACCCGTCGCAGATTAATATCGGCACGAGGCAGGAATTCACAGCCATTATCTCTCCCTTGATTTCCGCAGCCACGATACAGGCGCCACAGCCACCCTCGTGGCACATCGCTTTTGTGCCGCGGAGTTTCGCATAGTCGCGAATGTAGACGTTGAGGGACGTGTCAGCCGGAATGTTCCCCGATACTGAAAACGATACGGCCATTGTAATATTGAAATGATAGTTATAATTCATAAAACGCGAACACGAAGCATATTGTATCGACTTTAATTTCACGATATTTCAAAAGCTCACCGTTATAATTAAATCTTTACAATTGAATGTTAAAGCCTCTGTTATAGCACAATTAAATTTTCGTAACTGAATATAATGGTTTCTGCCGACGTAACTACGTTTTCCTGCGTTATATACTTGCATTATATGCACATAATTAAATTTCTACCGTTGTGTAATTAGAATTACTTATTTTGCTATTTAATAGAATTACATCTTTTCGTCTTTAATTATATTATCTATAATATTGAAGAATACGTACTCGTGTGTGATATTCCATTTATGGTAAAATTAATGGATTTTCCGCTCTCCCTGCAACGAAGCGCATATTAGATTACATGGAATATTAACATTATTATCAATCGAGGAAGTGTAGATGGATATGTGATAGGATATATAAGAATTATTTTTATTTATCACTTTCTTGACGATATAATAAGTTAGATTAAATACGTTAATAGAGTTGTTTATCTTAGAATTTTTATCGTGAAATATATATATCAAAGTGCAGTGTTTCCGGAAATTGATAATGAAGCTGCGCACAGATTTTGATTTATTACACACGCATAATGTATAAGTTGGCGTGTATTATGAATTCTTTATAGCGATAATAAAAACTTACATTATCGTCGACATCGTTCGTCAATTGTGCCAAAGTACGCGCACTGGTAATCCTTCGTCCACCGATATATATACAAGTCTTATCAGATATATCTACGCCTTTTGAAATACGGAAAAATTATAATTATCAGATATCATAATTTTTTTTCGCTATGCACGAAGCAACGATTATAGCAGCGACGAAGATCGTGTAAGCCGAATGTCGATGCACAATTCTCGAAATAAGCTCATGGATATGCTCATTTATTTGAATGTTAGCACAGGTATATAAAGCGCAATGATTTTTTATGGCCATTGAATGAGAAAGTCATGATATTTTACATTTTGCGTGTATGCGTGTGATGAATAACTAAAATTTTCACTCCATCACTTAAATAAGTATAAATTATCTAGTATGCGCCAGTAGAACGAGTAGATGTGTTTCTGTCTCGAATGTAAATTCATTAAAAAGACGATGTCCACACGACATGTACCTATTCGTATTTTTATTGCTTGACATTTTAACGTTGCCGAAAACAGTCCCACCGTTTACGTCAGAAGCAATATTCTTTCATTTATCAGCTATTCGAGACGAATGTAAGATTTGTGTACAAACAACGAATATATGTATGATATAACGTTATTGCTTACGTAGATAATTTACGTAGAATCACGCAACTCATCGGCTGCGGTCCGATTCACGTTCACAACGCTGTAAGCATCGCTCTATCTTCGTTTGACATTCGATGTGCAACGAAGACAGAATGACGCTTACAGCGCTATGAGCGTGAATCGGACCACAGCCATCGTTGATCTTCCATTCAAGCAATTGATCTATTATTGCTGTCTACCTATGACATATTATGAGATTGTAATTGATATTTTTGTCATCTCTATATTTTTACATCGTATCTCTTTATAAAATTCAAGCTACCATAAGACCGAGAGAGACTTTTGATAGTGATTTATTGCTGGGAACACGCGAGATTAACTCGACACAGGAGGATAAAAATCACGACACAGGAGAATAAAAATATTAATGATAACTTGTTGCCCGAAGCCATAAACTTACGCAGTATTATGTGAGATTAAACTACAGAAGAAAGATAGAAAAACGATTCTACAAGGTTGCATGCAATTATGATTTAACGCTGTTTAGCAATCTTCAAGTCATTATGTAGTCATCGCGTAATTTCAAGTTTCTCGCAGAAGAGAAGAAAAATTTAAAATAATACACATATATGTTTAATGTATATACGATAATATACTCTTTATTTCTATATATGCATATATAGAGTATTATAAAAATAAAATACGATCTTCACTTAATGTCACATCGTTATGGATTTTTTTTTTTTTTAAATAATAAATTTGCATTCAAAACAAATACATATCTCTCGTTCTATACTGGTTCGTACCAAATAATTCATACTTATTTAAGTGATGGGACAAGATTTCACACAATGTAAATTATCATAACTTTTTTATTTAATAGTCATGAAAAAATCATTTTGCTCCATATATGTGTAAGTATATACAGCATATATGTAGAGTGATAAACAGAAGAAGCGGCAGAAAAACAAAGATCCGAGAAATAAGAGAAATAAGACATCGAAATCAATGTCAATAAGAAAGGATCAAGTCAAAAATTTGCCTGATCGTATCGCATTCGACCATTTAGTTACATATAGCATAACGGGTTTCTTAAAAAGAAGAAATAAGAAATAAAGAAAAGTACAGAATGATGAAACAAGCCAAGAATTCGCGGATGTGCGTAGCAATTTTTAAACACTGGAAATGAAGATTGAAAGCAAGAATAGATAAATGAAGTAGAAGATTTCGTTGCATGCACAAGCATGACGGCTGAGTAATTTTCTTGATGTGAATCTATGCAACACAATGGAATATGCGATCTAACGAGTTTACATAATCGTACATTGTTATTCCCTTATTCGCGAGATGTCTATAATCCATCGCGAAAGTATTTATGCGCCGCGATCGTATGATGAATGGTCGCCGATGTCGTCAAATTTTTTTTCTAATAACGATATAATGCTCATTTTACCTCTTTTGAACAATTGATTTAATGCTCGTTTTGGTCATCGCGCAAATGATCATTGGCGAATAACCTTGTTTTGCACCCACCTTATTTAGCACGTCATATGTAATCATATTTCGTACTAATGTATTCAGATTACGAATAACGTGGTTGTTACGCGCGGAAGCACTACTTCAAAGATCGTAACGCTGACAGTTGCTGATAACTCACATCCGCGCACGACGTTTAATCTTAACTTGACTGTGTAATTTTGTAATCGTAACTATAAAGTAGTGTTTAAACGCGCTGCAAGGAGCATGATATAAAATGGATTTGTGGAAGCTTATTTTGCGATACGTTACGCAATCTTAATCTGAGAAGTCGGAAGTTTTACATTGTATTCCTCTTTGCCCATTTCTTGTTACTATTGTAAACATTTTATTGGGGCTATGAGAAGTTAGAATTTAATAACTTATTGTCTCTATTGTCTAATTAGGGAAGAGAATTAAAATTTCTTTGTCATGTGGAAAAGATATATACATAATTATTGTTTATTTTAATTATACATTATTAAAATGTTTATTGAAAGTTTTGAAGTCAATCTTTGATAAAAATTTATGCTGTATTCATTTTTTAATTAACTTCACCGCAATTATGCAGCTTCAATTTATTTTAATCCCTCTGTTGTTTTATATGCAGAGAACACCGTAAAACAAAACAATTCTATGAAGAGCCGAAGACAATCAATCACTTGACTTCAATTTTTTTAACTCAATAATAAAAAAGACACTTGTTTCTTGTGAGCAATGTTTTTTCTTCGTTCTATCGCTATAACGAAATGCAGGAAACATTGTGATTGCATTCGTTGAACATTTTATTTATCGGTTTTTTTTATCTTGTACGAATGGGATGCGGGCACACACATAGATACGAGCGTTAAATAATTAAACTGTATAAAACAATTGATACTAGTATATCGATCATTTCAATATTCGATGCTAAAAATATGGAAAAAGTATGGATGTAAATAATATCGAAATATGAATTCGTTGAAATAACACCAATTTCTGTTTTTGATAGCTGTTTCCTAACGGAAACGCTGTGACGAGATAAAAGAAGATATAAGAGAAATATCAGAAACCTGTCAAAAAAGGCAAGACATAGACATAAACAGGAACGAAGACGTATCGCATAGATTATATTTTATTATCCGGTTTCAGTTCCAAAAGACGCTCAAGCATTTAAAGTGCACATTAAGAGTGTACTTTTTATCTACGCTGTCATTTAACTAATCTTGTTGCGGTTATCGAGGTTTCTTTTGCAGTATATTTTATACCGATATGCGTTGCATACGGAAATATTGACATTTCGACATTTCTGTCCTGAATTACACTCGAGCAGTCGATTTCGCATATGATTTCTCTTACTCGTCGATTCTAATATCTTTTTTATCGTAAACCGAATGCGTGGATAACATGCATCGACTTTAATTTTAGCATGATGATGCGAAGTGTCATCATAAGCAATTGTCTTAGAAATTTCTGTGAAATATGATTGTTACGAAATAACGGAAGAAGATGCAGTATTATGCAAAATAAAGAAGTGTCGATGAAGATAGAATAAATGTTGATGAAGTAAATATGTAGAATCATTTCTCTTATCACTGATATATTTTGTTACTACTTTGTTATTAATGACAAATGTCGGACGTTTGTTTTTAAGGGGCACAAGCATTATTTTGAAAATCTCATTTACGTGAAAAAGAATCACTAACTATCTTTTGTATAAATTTGTAAGATTAAACTGCGTGACGTTTCTTCAAATGACTTTGCATATTTTCTCACGCGTCGATCGTTTAGAGACCGCTTAAAAAAATGCAAATATCATGTAAGAGGCGAGAAATCAAATGTTTTCTACTCACGTAACATACATTCAACAATATTGCATAAAAAATTGCTGATGTCATCGTTATGAAACAAAATAATATAAAGGTGTAACTACATTTATTTTTGCATTCTTTTTATCTTACGCAAGCAAATTTCGTAATAATTTGATAAAGCAGTAATACACATAGATATGAAAGATAAAAACGGAAAGAACGAATCAAACGTTACAAGGCAGTTTATATGTTCAAATCTTTTTGCGTCTTATTATAAAAGCGATCCTTATTTTTAAAAAACAGTCGAAGAGAAGAGATAAGAACAGAACGGGGAAAGAATGTCTTGAATAATGTCGCATTAAAATTGCACAGCATAACATTAAGAGGCCTGACACCGTCACAATGAGGATCAACTTTATTAAAACTGACCGGTGAAAGTAGATCGCTCGCACATTCCCTCTCTGCACGAACAATATCACCTTACAAAACTGCGAAAAACGCTTTTTCTTTAAACAAGCTCGTTATTACAATCTTATACGTTAAAACCATTATAATTTCGATGAATTCTCACGAATTAAGGTTGTCTCATAGTTGTCCAGAACCCGACGAAATTATTACGGCGCTCTCCGTCCCCAATCGTGACGTTAATGACCTCGGCAAGGCAATCGAGCGTGATAAACAGTTACGTAATAGGGAAAGCGTCAGGATAATTTTTATTTGTCATTTGACCTACCCCAAATTACTGCTGGCGGTCGTACCCATAACCGAACCGCGACAGCTGGTGCCGATAGTCCAGATAGGCGACGGCCACGTCTCCGATTAATTCTGTGAAGATGATTCAAGGCTAATTTGATTAAAAAGAACTGTACGGATAGGTAGTTCTGCCGGAGCTGGTAGCGCGAGCGAACGTAACAGTCGACGGGATCTTTTGGACTTGTCCGCTGATCCTACTCCGCTCCGTATTTATAACCGCGCTACATATAATAGTTTCGCGTGAACATTCTCCATACCCCTTCCATATCAAAATAGTAGGAGTGCGGCGATTATCGTGTCATATGGGACATTTCAATTATATCGGATTACGCGCGTCTAATCGCGTCGAATTTCAGAGCGCTCTCGCGTATCCGAAAGGAAAAGGGAAGAAAGGGCGTAACGTCGCCGATTTTGTCTCGCTCGAGCGATCGCGCACGGATATAATAACTGCGCGAAGATTCAATTGATGATGAATCACGAAGTATTAATTGCCCTCGCATGCTGCAGTCAATTGTTCTCGTCTATCTTCAAACGTGTCATAGCTGTGTTTAGGTAATATCCAATCCAATCGTTGCACAGTAGGTAGAACAAAAATTTTTTATCATTATTGCGGCAGATAGTGATGGCCATTAGGTATATTATATTATAATTACATGCTAACGATATGTTATAATCAATGTGCCAACGTATACGATGTGTTGTTTTTATAAAGCCCTTCTTAATATACATACGTATAAGTATATATATCCCACCGCTGCCACCATTTTGTTGTGCCCCTTTTTGGGACACTTGGATTCGATCTTTCCAAGGAGGAGGCGGGAGGCAAATGACTAACACACTGAGAGAAATACTTTTTTAATTATTAATATACCATGAGTTTAGACTTGATATCTTTGTCAGAAATATACAAATGTCAATGTAAATTCGTAATATTTAATAATAATATACGTAACTGTATAGTAAAAATACCATCAATTTATATGAAATTGTATGTATATTAAATGTAATGTCTTTGTAATTAACAAGTTTATATTAATTATTAATATAAGTATAATCAATAATCTCAAATAAATTATTTCATTTGTCGAAATTGATAAAATATTTTACGCAAACATACATTTATTTATGACAAAGAAAGTCAATGTTATATTATTACTAATAATCTTTATTATTAATAAAGCACGGACTGCGGTATGCAGTAATATTATTTTTATACTGATAAATGTAGTTATATTCAGTGATACGCAATATAGCATATATTAATTATGAAGAAATATTTAGGGACGGACATAAAAAATTCTTACATTAACGACAAAGCATGTATATTAACTATTAATATACTGTTCTCTCAGTGGCACTTTTGGATGCAATAAACACGACTTTTACTAATTACTTCGCTTTTACAACTTATTTCGTACAAGACTTGTTCGTCGCTGCCCGACACACATTGCCCTCTCGTCTCCTGTTGTCGCTTCCTTTTGAATCCTCGTCCTGTTCTTCGATATCGCTGAGTTGCTCGATCGTATGTGGGCCGATCGCGCAACTCATCTCTTGCTGATTCGGCGTTGCGTAATTCTTTCGGGCTTTCACGGTCGCGTTCCCTATTGTTCTTCGCGGTCTTTATTCTTAATACTATTTATTGTTATATTAATTCGGGCCGCAACAATACGTTGCATACTGACTTAAAGTACTTGGGAAATAATTTACTCAGCAATGGGTATTTAATATATATTTATGAAAATTTATTCTTCTTTATTTTTATCTGAAGGCAAGATTGAAATTATCCAACATTGTCAATTTTTAATTAAAAAGTGCATATATGTATAGTTTACTCAGCAAATGCAATGGGTATGTATAATATATATATTTAGATAAATTTATACTTTCGTATCTTTATTTTAGGGCAAAATCTAAATTATTTAACGCTATTGATTTTAAATAAAAGCTTATATATAAATGGCATATATTATTAATATGCAAAGCTATCGATATACGATAAATAATTGTTTCAAAAAAGAAATATTATGCGGATTTTCTTTTGTTATACATATTTTTATACATTTATAGCACGTCTTCTTAAAAATACATTTTAAAAAATTATGTTACAATTACATGATTATATATTATTTTCTGTTATATTGACTAAAATGCAGATTCGATGATTCTTAGCGTCATAGTTTCTGGACTTATTGACAAGCAATAATTACACGCACTGATCAATCTCGCTTAAACTGTTTTATTTTTGACACGTGTTACAAGATAAATACGCGCTCGAGGAGGCTCGAAAGGAGAGAACTCGTTACACGTCAAACTTGTTTAATTAATGTTCTCGTGGCGATTAACGACGCTCCTACGCGCGTTTCTTCGCGGTGCATGCGTATGTCGTGAAGACGGTACTTTCTCAGTTGCCTCTTGCCATTTCAAGGGGTAGGCTAATCGGTTGCCCTTGTTCCACGTGTAGAGCTCCTGAAACGAAATGGATGCTCGAACGCGATACGATATAATGATGGAATATGGTAAGTCATTATCGGATAAGCACGTACCTTAGTCTTATGATTATAGCTGACTGCCGTGGTCTTGTGGTAGGGGTTCGTGAACGACAAGTTTACATCCAGCGTTGTATTTTTGTAGAGATCGAGGGCGTATCTAAGGAATTCGGTCGAGTCGCGGATAATAATGATAATTTTCAGGTCAGAAAAAAAACTTATGCAAATATACAGCACAGATATTCCACGATTATTCGTGGATATGTCTTGAAAATATGCGATATAGTAAAAAGAGAAGACATAATAATATAGTGCTAAAAATTAAAAGAGATATTGAGGATATTAGGAAACATTGAAAGTCCAAGTATATAGGTAAAAATTTCTACAGGTTTGTGCCTTATATCGTAACTTGAAGGGCAATTTGTCATTCGTGTTACCGTATTTCCATAGTATTGTTGGTGACGTTGCGTATAGCGTAAAGCACGCCTCCCGCGATAAACATCTCCGCGAATCGACGGTGATCGATACTGATATTCCACGCGTACTGTATCTGCATTTCAATTGGATCCATTTTCACTACTACTGTATTTTTATGCGTACCGCTGCAATTAGGTGATAATGGGTAAATGACCCATAAACCTGCAGAAACGCCACATTATTACATATCATATTTTATATGTATATAACGTTTTCATTTGTAATATTTAATTCCGCGTGAAAAAATACTAAATATTTTAGTTTAATTAATCCTCTTTAATTTATAACGAACATTTGCCTGCCGCTCGTTTTACCGTTTTCGTCCACGTTAATATCCGTGTAGGTAAAATTATGCGTGTAGAGATGGTTCTGGCCGTCGACCTCCAAGCACGGAAGCATCCGCTCGCATTTGGGTAAAAAGTCGGTGCACGCCCGGTGACCCGAGAGATCGTATCGAAGTATCGACGGTCGATTCATAGGGTTATAGAAAAACGACTTGTCGTAAACCACGTGCCCATTACCCTAGAAGAGAACGTCGACGGAGCGGATTAAATTCTCACTTTAAGCTCCTTCTCGTTAGACGTGAAAAATTTTTTAAAGCAAATACGTCCATGCTCTTATTTTATAGTTATTTTACAGCTAGTTAAAACTTTTCTGGAGTTGTGTGACTATAATTAGAAATGTTTCTCTTTTATTCTTAAGCTGCTGACCTGGAAAGGAAAGTGTAATAATTTCGGATCAGTCGGCGTGTTGTTGTTAAAGTGCTCCTTCGTTTTGTATTCGTAGATGAAGGACGTCTCGTTGTGGCGGGTGACCCAAAGTCTGTGATCGGGCATGATATCGTTACTGGAGGACGTATCGTACATCCAACTTCCGTAGTGATCGTCCCCTTTCAGCACAGGTTTTCCTATCGCCTCTATGAAACCCTCTGCGAATTTACCAACGTCGGTTATTAACTTTCGAGTCCCCAAGTCGGGGAGTTCGCGTGGAAAGACTTGTTTTTTAGCCACGATATTACGGGCACTCCGTGTTTAACGGAAGTGCCGCCAGTTCGTTAATTGCATAAACTTCCGCGATATTGCGATCCTTCAGTCATTAATGCACAGTTCTCCGCTGTGTACTTGACCCCGCCGCTATGTACGCGCTTGCACATAGCGAAGATAAATAAAAGTTAAATCAAAAAGAGACCCTAATCCGTCCCCAATGTGAAATTAAAACTTTATTTCAATTACTTTCATTTTAAATAAGTTCTTGATTTTCATTTCTTTTGTGAAAGTTAATAGTTGCGTGTGACTAATAGATTTATAGAAAATATTCAACACAAAATCACCCCGAAAAGATACCTTTTCATTTTACATTATTATCTTATTTTTTTTGTCGCATCGATTAAAAGTTCCCGACACGTCCGTTTCGCTAAATTTATACATACTGATTTATATACTCTTATGTCATGGAAATGAGCTATGTATGCGTTTACATTGCAGCTTTACACATCTACTTCCTGAAATTAATTGATCTACCCTGTGCAGGAACGCTGTTGGAATACATTAGTTAGAATTGATTAAACGTACCGGCTAACCGCGACGGCAGCCACGTATTATTAATATCTCTCAACGGTTGAACGTGCACGTGGTCCATTATGTCTAGGTACGTGCACTTCGGACACGTCGTGCAGGTTTCTTGCGCAGGAATGCACGATTCTTGCTCCTGATCGACGCTCGTGGGCATTGGATAGCCGTACGTTACATGCTCCATCTTTCCCATTTTGTATTTCTCGAGATCCTTTATGTCATCTAGCATTTATTATTATTAATTAGAAAACACCAGCAGAGTCGTTTCTTAGAGACAGGTGTTAGGATCAATCTTGGAAAAAAAATGCATTGAAAGAAATTAAATTTCCAATCTCAGAAAATCTTATACGATGGATATAGAAGTGAGCTTTTCGTTTCTCAGAATTTGTATTAATATTTTATATTAATATCTATTTTCTCGTTTTATTTGAAGATCAGAAGTGACAAGTGTCAGCCTGGAAATGCTGCGCTACGAGATAACGCAGAGTAACAATTTACACGGACATTCACCTCGAACTCGGAGGTCTTACTCCTATATCCTTCATATTCCGTTGTAATTAATTAGTAAATTCTGTAGCTTTAGTGGCTCTTCGTAATTCTATTATATTATCAATGCAAGGTGAAATACGAGGTATAATCCGAGGCAAAACAAACCGTCTACTATAAAGGATCCCTTGACAACGTCAAGATCGTTTTTTGCCACGCAGTGGTAGGTCCCGTGATCCGACGAAGTCACCCTCGCGATTCTCAGCTTCATCTTCAGCTTTTCAGAATAGTTTCACGTATTGTAAGACACCTCATTTGTTGCTAACGTATAGCAAACGAGCAAGAACAATTTATTATCGAGATTTATACGATAAAACATGCAAATCACGTTCGTTAAAATGAAAAGAGGACTCTAAGAAAATCGCGTAAATAAGTGCGATATAATTGCGCGGATTCAGCGAAAGTCCGCGGGTACAGGTTCGACGGGTTACCTTATAATTATCGCGCCTGTCGTAAACCTCCGTTCTGTACTTATCCGACATTTTCAGACGACGGCCGTCACTGCGTTCCCAATGTACCACCGGCTCGGGAAAGCCTTCCACCTCGCATTCCAATGTCGCCGGATTTTGGTTTCGCACGAGTACCACTTGGTTGCGTATGCGAATGAACGGCGAAACTGGAACGCGATCAATTATCAATTTTAGCCACATATGTGCCATCGATTCGAACAAAACTGGTTCTTTCCGAGTTATTTTAATAATATCAAAACCCAGAGGACATTCATGCATTACTTTGCGGCCCCACGCGAAATCTTTTAGAATTTTTAAAGGCGTCGCGATACCTTCTTTACATTCACAATAAAATACATATTACAAATAATATAAAGAAAATTATTTTATGTGTAACGTTTTGAAAAGAAATTACTGCAGAATAAAAATAAAGAACAAGAGAGTATATCGAAAATAATCTAAAGTTTTACATAAGAAATTTAAAAAAATATATACATATAATATACATTCATATATTTTATATTATTTTATATTATAATACATATTACACGCTATTTTTCTCGTATAATTTCTTATGTAAAACTTTAGATTTAAACTGTCAACGTTACTTTATATTTAATTTTATAATTTTATATTTCAAAATGCTACGTTATCAAAAAATTAAGAAAAAAAATATATATATATATATGTTTTAAATAAGATTGAAACGTGCTTACATCTGACTTGAAGCTTGAACCTCTTGGAGACTGCTGGAGGTATTCCGTTATTAGCGTTGCACGCATACTCGCCCATGTGTTCCCGGGTCACCACGCTGATGTTGAATGTATGGCCCGTAACAGAGCTCACTAGAGTCGCAAGATTTATGGGAATGTTCGTTAATCCCGTTCTATCCGCCGGCTACTTATTAAAGAGAATTAAAGAGTCCGTTTATACCATGCCAGGGGCCCATGGGTATCATGGAACCGTCTATTTTGGTCCATTGTATAACGGGCTGCGGTTTTCCACTCGCGGCGCACCTCAGCCGTATTTTGCTACCTTCGAGCACAGAAATCACGCCACTTGAGTTTAACGACGGTGTAATCTCTGAAATTTTCCAAGACTGTAATATCCTCCGTAAGATATCGTGATAGTTAATATGATGCAGGGATTACCTTGCGGTAATATAAAACAATGTAATGAATAACGTATAGTGTTTTACAACGAAAGAAAAAGAAAAGAAACCGCGATTTTGCTAAGACAGTAAAGACAATAGGCCTTACCAATGATGGATGGCGGTATTAACAGGTCATTCTCGTTGTCATCGTTCATGTGTAACTTGTATGCCTGTATGCCTGATTTGCCATCCTTCCCGGGCGCTCCTGAATGACCAGGTGGGCCTATCTCTCCTGAAACATAAACAAGTTGCTTGTGAAATAAATAAAATGAAGATATGACGGTACTGCCATTACTTACCGCGAGGTCCTTGTGGTCCCTGAGGTCCCATTTGCCCTGGTCTTCCTAAATGAATATAAAATGTCAATTAATCTTTTATCTGCGAGGTATTACGAAGAATGTATACTATTCTGTTGTTATACTTACGATATTACCTAATTTATAACTTAATTAAAAAATAAACATTTTTAAATATAAAAACAACTTTTTAAGAATTGAAATTAGAAAACTAAGTCTTCAATTTAGAGGATTAATCAAGGAAAAGATTTAATTTAGCAAGTTGAGAAATTAGAATTTTCCCTCTCACAACCGCAATCATTAAAATACATTTTTTAAATTAAAAAGTATTATATTAAAGAATAAAAAGGTTTGTTAGTTAAATAAATATGCATTATGGAAGAGGCTGCTTTTAATGCGAAATTTTTATTTCGCGGCGGTCATTCGCATTCTCTCTCTACGTCGAACCTCCGATTGCGATACGACATTGTCAAGTACTATTCTACATTCAAACGTACCGTCCGTTCCGTTTCTTCCAGGGAGTCCAGGCGATCCGTTCATACCCGGCTTACCGTTGCTCCCCGGTACGCCGTCCAGACCACTTCTACCGGGAATACCGTCCAAACCGGGCTCACCCGGTACCCCGTCCCTTCCGTCGAAACCCGGTGGCCCGATGTCACCCTTGGGCCCTCGGACACCAGGATGGCCTGGAGGCCCCTTAAGGCCGTCCATCCCCCGAGCGCCCGGCAGACCCGGTTCGCCGGGTGTACCCGGATTTCCGGGCGCACCGGGGAGACCTGGTGGACAATACTTCGCAGACGAACGGCAAAAGTTCTCGATCACGTCATACTGGAATGCAAGTAAATAAATATATACGTACTCGATTTGGTATACACATTAAGTTAAGCACTGAAATCTGGGGCTGTCTTGTATTAAAATTTCTAAAAAATAATGAGTATTGAACTCCCGAAATATAAAATAAAGATCAGGAATGGCTATAGGAGTCAGACGCAGTTGTCAGTGCGTAAAAAAAACTTAAGCGATTTCATTGAATATATATTCGATTGATGAAATCGCTTAAGTTTTTTTACGCACTGACAACTGCGTCTGACTCTTATAGCCATTCCTGATCTTTATTTTAAAATTTCTAAAATTGTAGACATTTCTGTAATAACGAAATATTTTTGTGACCTGATTTTCTGCAGACGTTTTGAAGTAATCTTGAAAAAAATCTTTAGCTATTCTCTCTGATACAGTGATACATTTGAAATATTTGAATTAAAAACGAATTATCTTGAAATATTGAAATTAAAAATAAATTTCTATGAATATTTTTATTTAAAATATAAAATAAAGTCCGTAGAACGATATCTATTTTTCTTATTGGGTCTGTATGAAATAATGAAAATAATATGTTCATATTCGCACGAGCGTTATCATTATTTTAATGGCGTTATTTTAACGACGTTATTTTAACATCATTATTTTAATAGAGAAAATAGGTGTAACAGATACTTAGCAGCTATCTCCGAGTATCTTCTACATATACGCAATGTTCTATGTAGGTTGGCGGAACTCGTCAAGGAACATCGTGACAACGCTCGGCAAGTTTGAGGAGAGGATGTATTCACGGGGATGTATCGCGAAACAGGTAACTAGTTCTAACAATCACAGAGAACTGACTTGTATTCGTGTGTCGGCGTTAAACCAGACCCAATCCTGACCTCCGGCCACCGTTGGCGAAGACTCAGAACCGGATACCATCGGAGAGGCGGTTACCTTCTTTGTACCCTGTATCTCCTTGTCATCTCGGATCTGTAACCGAGCGGCCCGTACAATCCCGCGTTATTAAAGGGGGAAGATCTGGAGATACCCTCGAGAAATTAAATTGGGAAACCTGCTCTTAGGAGATCTCGGAAAATTAAACGCTGGGGAATTAAGAAAGCGAAATTTCTCTCATTTCTTCTCGTTCTCCGCAAAATTTTTGTATAATTTTCTTTTTTTTTACATATCTTTCTTTATCTCGTGTAATTGCCATTTTGATATAATTGCGTGAAGCTTTAATTTACATATTATATTTTTCGTTGCAAGGTCCAGTGCGAGAAAATTGCACGTTTCAAAAACAGTTTCTCTCTGTAAATTAAAAAAATTGGAATTTTTGCTTCACGTGTAGACTCGGATTTGCGTCGATTTCCTTTTATTCTTGAGAACATTTTTCCTGGCTATGTATACATACCCGACTGGATATATCCGAAACGGCATTGTCCTCGGCGGTTGGCAACGCGCTGCTGCGTCTTCGCCGCGGAATTGCCACGGCCTCCGCCGGGTACTGACTTTTTACCCGACGAAGATCGCTCTCCACGTTCGTGACGTACTTATACAGATAGACGGACGTGAAAAACTGAATGATAAATTGCAGCAAAATGAGAGCGAGCAACACTCGCGGCTGGAGCATCCAACGTTGCACCAGTAATGCACTCTTGCTGTTCATGTTGACGGACGTGGTTTTACTCCTGTGAAAAGTCACGCCTGAAAAAGCCGTTCTCGCATTGCGACAAATTACCGCCAATTCGATAAAAAATAAATAAATGAAAAAGACTAATGAAAATTCTATAGATTCCAATTAAGACGAGGTGACAAGAAAAGATGGTCGTGTCTTCCATATCATATTTAATTAAATTTCTCGATCACTTTCGCCGAATTATTATTGTTAGTTAATAACGCGATTGATATGTTACACAAACGATAACACGCAAACATATATATACAATTAGCGCGAAGACACGACGCGCGGTAGAGCGCAACTATTTCAATTGGATATCTCTGGCACGCCGCAGGAGAAGAGAGATCGGGGGAGAGAAGCACATAGATCTGTACCGTCTGATTGGTTACTATCAAGCGGAATTGACTATACATTAAACTTCATCAGCAACATCCGCGCGTTTCACGCTTCCGTCTCCTACGTCCTTTCGTCGCCTACATCCTCTCCCGCTCGTCGTAACGCTCGCGGTCGCTGATCTCAACGCTAATTTTTATTCCGTAAACTTTCCCGAACAGTGACCGCACTTTCGTGGCACACTCGTCGCACTGGAAAAGAAATACTTACAATTTGTTATAATTTTTTTTTTTTTTTTAATTTCACACGTGTAGCGCGACGCACGCGATTTTCTCTCTTTTCTCGGCGCGCGCGAGGGAAACGCTCGCGAGTGCGTTAACGAAAACGCGGTTTACACAGCGGTTTGCGGTGTCCGCGTCTGTCCTAATGTAAACTAATATATAAACTGTGAGCCGGTGCCGTCGTCGGCTCCGCTCCGACGAGACGCATGCGTGAGCATTTCTCTGTGTATTACACCACGGCCAATTGTCATACATTGCACGTGTGAGACATGCGTGGCTTCGTAGTGTGCGCCGGACGACGACGGCCGGGGCACCGCACGTTCGTGAATGCACGCTCCGTTTTGTCCGACGCCACAGTTACACCCGAGCGCGTGTCAATGGGACGCGTTCCAGTCTTAATTAAAAAAAAGGGAAGAGAAAAAATATCGATTTCACGCTACAGTCGCTGTAACAGTCTCTTTCGCGTAACGCCTCGTTACAGCACGCCCAGCGGCGAATTACCGCTCGACGGTTAGTTAAATCGGAACTCCACGCTTGATGGAGATGTATAGATTTCCAATGAATCGTATAATTATTATTCCATATGCATCTATAATTGTAACTCGGCGATCGGGACGGAAATGAAAGATAGAGAGAGAGAGAGAGAGAAAAATGAGTCGATATTCTGTGAAAAAAAAATATTTAATACATAAATATATATAAGGACTTTTTCTTTGAAGAGAATTGCAATATCTCTTGATAGCTACATAGTATCACAGTACAGGGCCTTCCCAAAATTGAAAAGTACATATAAATCGATTTTCATTAGTGTACATATTATACATTTGTTCTGTACATTTATCATTAGAACTAAAGTGTTTGCTCGTTAATCATGCAAATCCACTTGATTGTTAGTAGAGCACTGCCCATCTCCTTCACACAGGATGATTTCTATATCGTGCTCGGGATCTTCGTTTGTATTTATGTTTACATTTTGCTTCGAGGCCTGTGGACAACGAGTTTCTTTAGAAATTGATCAGTTTTTGTTTTTCTTCTAATAATTCTTTTTCTTACCAAGTCCAAGGATGCTAAAAAATATCTGGCCACCTCGCAAGGCTGTTCCTTTTGAATGATGGTGTCGAAGCTGACCCTTCGTTCATCACTCGCCTTCAGAGTATCTATAATTCGCGATGTGTAATCGCGAATGCAAAACGTCGATCTTTTCTCAGCGTCGCGCAACTTTGGCTGTATCATTTCGTGCCACTTGTCGACATTTTCCTGAAATTGTGATTTATTTTGTTAGTACTTTACAACCATTATACTTCCTTTCTTATCAATTTTATCAATCGCCGATCGACTTACCGGCACGAAATTTGGCGAGTCTGAACGAAACCAAACGTCACAGAAACTTTCGTACGGAGTCGACGTGTCCATAGGACTCGGACTGTGAAGCTCCGAAATCCCATCGATCGAAGTCAAGTTATCGTTGACATTCATCGTTACATCATCGCTGATATGTGTGTCCAACTCAGTATTGTCGTGTAATCGAAATCCTAAAAGATCTAATTCGGCGTTTGTAACGTCTGTGTATTGCAAAGGATCGTACTTTTGTATATACTTCATACAAGTACGCGAGTTTTCCTTGAACATATTTGGTCTATCTGGAAAACAACGTCATTTAATGTAGATCGATAGATTTGGCGATGGATAATTTCAAGACAAATTATGATGGATTTACCTTTTGCGGAATAATACGAATCTTCCAAGCTAAGCAGGAGATTTCTCCTCGTTTTACTTTCTCGTTTCTTACGCGATGCGGGTGGCTTTCGCTTCAACTGCAAATAAAGTAATGCAAGGACATTACCAGAAAAAACATTAATTACTAATAAAACTAATATTACGTACCGATTTCGATTTGGACTTTGTAGTGGAACGTTGCGTTTTATTCTTTCTACTTTTATCTAATGGTGTATTTTGTACAGAATTGGCAAATGATTTTGCTTTCGCTAGATCCCCGTTTGAATCGTTCAACGACGCTGGATCGTCGGTCGACGAAGTCCTAAAATATCAGCAACTTGAAAACTCTAACAGATTTATCGCATTAAGTAACGACAAAATCACAAGTAACAAAAATATACCTTCTTCCTTTCGAATTTACCGACTCGGGCGGGCTATCTAGTAGACTACCGACGTCTATGGTTCCCTTGATATTATTGTTCAAGCATTGATCTTCCGAATCATTGTTATTTGATGAAACAGTATTGTCGAGATTAGTCATTACCGGCGAAGTTGCATCGGTGGGTGTATCTGGACACGTCTCACTCGGAATATTGGTGAGAGTCGCGTCGTGGCAACTATCGCTTGAAATATTCGTTGGCGTTTTGACAAGCGTGTCGTCGGTCTCGGTATCTCTGGATAGAGAGAGATTTTGTTGGCTTAACTCCAAAGACGTAACCAAATCAGAAATCTCTTCTTCTGGCGAATCACAGTCTCTTTCACACTCGGCGTCCATGTTGATATTCTCATTATTATCGTCGCGTATTGTGGAATCCGACGTATCACAAAGTCCATATGAATAATGTGATTTTTCTTTGACCGAGTCATCTCCGCAACAAAAATCTGAAACGCGAATAATTCTAAGAAATATTCGATCAAATCACAAATCTATTTTCAACAATTTTCAATCACATACCTTCAGGCGCAAACTCGTCGACCAATATACCATCCCTACTTATATTTTGATTGCACCTAGAAAATATCACACAGGTTTAGCTTAGCCAAGTACAACAAAGTTCAGATGTATCAAAAGAAGAAATAATACTCACCGGAAATCATATTTCTTGCCGACGACTTCCCCATTTACATCATAAATGTCAATAGAGACATGTTGTGCGATACCCTTCTCCAACTGAGTAAATCGGCGGCTTTTAGATTTGACAGAATCGTGTACTATATGATTCTTTTTAATGTCAATATTTTTATCTACTTCTTCCGCAAAGTTGACAGTTTTGAACTTGTGAAAACACGCGTCAGTCTTTCTATCTCTCTTTTTAGCGGGATTTTTTGTCGCTTCTTCTTGCCTGAGGAATTATTTTGTACATATTATTTCAAATTAGTAATTTTTAATTAATCAGCAAACCAAAAGATCTGTCTACACGTGTTTCAAACATTAAAAAATATCACTTACTCGTGAATCAATAATTCATTTCTGCAACATTCGGTTGTAGTCCACAGAGAATCGATTCTGTGCACGTACACAGCCGTGGAATTTTGTAGGACAAGTCCAGCCTCGCCAAAACTTTTGTTGCACGTCGTGTTGAACAAAGAACAATATTTTTCCAGAGTCTGCAACAATGCGAGAGATGTTACTTTCACTTATACACTGCGTTACCGTTGCGTCGTAACGAAAGAATTTTATCGCCATACCTGTGAAAAAGGAAAGTTCCATTCCGCTAATTCCTTCACTGGTTTCGTAAGCTGCAAACCGATATCTTGCACGGTAACCATCTTTGCCGTCTCATAAACGTCACGATGATTCGCGTAGGAGTCATAAAACTGTCAATCACTGTCCCTCAAGAAGCACCACTCTCACGCCTTCGACTATGTTATCTGAAAAATGATAAAACGATCAAAGTCCATTGAAAAAAAGAAGAAGGGTTTTTTCTGCGAGATTATACGAGTGTTTAGGCAGGAAAAAAAGCAGGTGGACGACGTTCCGCGGATAGTGTTTTGTCGCATTGGTGGGACATCGAAGCATACTAACCTGATCGATAAAAAAAAGAACAAGGAACAACCGCGATACTAAAGTATCTCGCTTAATCGTCACCTCTTCTCTTTACGAGTTCACGCGCGTTCAATTATCTCGCTCTGGAAACAAGCACTCTCCTAACCTAACAACAATAACACTGTCGTTGGACTGTTGGAGGTTGGAGCGTGGATTGCGAGAACAGGTAGTAGAGCGATCGCAGCTCGCACCCGGAAGTGACGGCGTCGCGCGTGCGCCAATCGCGTCGCCCCCCCTCCCGCCCGACGAATCGCCATCATGTAATGGCGGATCGGCCTATCCGCGCCGAGGAAGCGTAACTTTTAAAATTTGAATTCGGTGCTCACTTCAGTCCGGTATCTTCCTCTTGTCGAGATGCACGCGTCCTTCTGACGTCGCGTCGGGCTATCGGCATAAGTGCGGCTTTTGTTCGGGTTCAAAACGCCGCGATAAGAAACGACGCAGTGGGTAAATGACCATTCATTATGTTAATTTCGGAAAGAGATAGAAAGAGTGAGAAAGAAAGAGAGGAGTGGGATACGTTCGAAAAATGTTGCCAAGTTGAAGGTAGCGAGAGGATGATTTTGTTAACCAAATTCAATCCGCAAATCGGCCGAGACGCATAAAAATAATAGGGGTATTCAAATAAGTTGAAGTTTAACGGTTTGACAGGTTATGTCGGGTTAAAGTCGAGTAAAAAGTTAATTAATTAACTTTGGGCGCGCTACTCTTTAAGGTTATGCAAAATACATAAGTGTTTCATTAACCTATCACATTAATCTTTGGGTTAAAAGTGTAAAAATTAACTTTTCACCCGACTTTAACCCGACATAACCTGTCAAACCGTTAAACTCTAACTTATTTGAATACCCCTAATACGCGCATCCACGCAACGAGACGAAAACGCGTTTCAACGGCTAAAATCGCGCGACCGGGACCGGCGATCCCCGAGGCTAAAGACTCCGGCGTCGGTGAACGAAGTAGAATTCGACTTAAGTAGATATCTACTTAAGTAGATACTTAAGTAGGTACTTAAGTAGATATCCCATCGGCTGAGTGAAGTACGGCTATTTCGGAGAAGCGCGGGATTCGTCGCGGAGGCCCGTTAACTAGATTCAGGTACCGGGCGGCGAAACCGCGAAACCGCGTTCTTGAAACTGGTCGACTGGTCCCGGGGTGGCGGACGCGACGACGGGGGTAGTGGGTCACAAGGTTGCAGAAGCGGGTTGGCTGGCGAGGGGGCAGAGGAGACGCGAACCACCGCTTCGCTTCCCGCGCGTGTGTGCGTTTCCGCGCGCCTCTGTGTGCGCGGCTCTCCCCGATTTAGGCACGGCAGTCTAACGGCGACCGTGGTACCGTTGACAGCGCGCGCTAAACTCGCAACCCTATCTCGAATAGACCGAGGCCCCCCTCCCCCTTGAAGTCCCCCGAGCCCCTCCCCGGTTACGCGCTTTTCTATCCGCGTTCCTCATTTCCTTTCTCTTTCTCTCTCTCTCTCTCTCTCTCTCTCTCTTCCTTCCTTTTCTTTCCTTCTTTTTCCTGTCCGTCTCGTTCCGTCTCGTTCTCCTTCGGTTACTCTCCGTCTACTTTTCGTTCGCTCTTTGCCGGTTTCTCCCCCCTCCCCCTCTCTCTCTCTCTTGTTCGCTCTCCTCGTCCGCCTTTGGACACGCGACGACGCACACACGTAATCGCTCCGCGCACGAGCGCGCGTGACACACGCGAAACAGAGAGGGAGAGACAGAGAGACAGACGGACAGCAGACTCGTTGTACATACACGTACGTGTATACGCGAAGGTGCGCGCGCACAATCGGCGGCACAGGCCAGCGGTAGCAGCGGGATCGGGAAGCGAGCTAACCGGAGTACAATCGTTGTCGTCGTCGCGGTGTAGTCGTTCGTGTCCTCGTCACCACGTCTCTCTCCTCGCCTCTCAGCTCGTCCGTCATTCATCGTCGTCGTCGATGCGCGGATGCCGTCGTCGCGGTTCGCCGGTCGCTACAAGCGGTAACGCGCGCTATCACCGACACCACCACCGTGAGCTACCAGGTAGCGGTAATCGGTGCCGCGGCCTTGCCTATATGAAAAGGGGCATCAAGGAGAAAAGGCCGTCCCGCATCGCCGCCGTCGTCGTCGTCGTCGTCGCGTCGTCGCCGGCGCAGTCGATACCACCAGCAGGGTGGGAGGAAGGTCCGACGAGACCACGAGGAACTGAAGAGCGCCGCGAGCGCGACAGTCCCGCGCTCTCGGTACGACGATAGTGGCACCCCTCGGGGGTAAGAACGTGCGTGCGTGCGTGCGTGCGTGCGTGCGTGCGTGCGTGCGTACGTCAGTCCGTCCGTTCCTACGCGCGTACGAACGCGCGGAATACGAAAACGTACAATCGACCGCACCACCGCGAGTGCATGCGTGCGCGCTTCCCCTCGGCTTCCCGTTGTCTTCGCCTCGCTCTCGCGTATATCGCCATTCCCTCCTCTTCTCTCTATCTTTCTGGTTTTCCAGAGAAGAACCGCGCGGGTGCTCCGATTTTCTCTCGTTCGCGCTCGCCCTCCCCTTCTCGCCGCCATCGCTCCGGAGGAATTTGTCGCGACCCCGGCGGATCGACATCGCTCCGGAGCTGCCGCTCCGTACATCGAATCGCCATCGGCGCGCCGTCCTCACCGTCACCATCCAGCGCGGCTGCGGCGGTGGAGGTGGCGGCGGCGGCGGCGGCGGTGACGGTGGTGGTAGCGGCGACAAGCGGCGGCGAGTGGCGACACAGTGCCACCTCCTCGATTCTAGGGAATCGAGCGGTTGGTCGGTCGTGGAGCGCGAGAGGTGCGCGAGAATGTCCGAGAGAGCGGCCTGAAAGCGCGGATAAATGTGTCGGTCGCGTTACAAGACGTGAGGCGCGAGCGAGAATGAGAGAAAGAGTGAGAGAGCGAGAAAGAGAGTGTGCGAGAGAGTGTGTGTGAAAGAGAGAGAAAGAGAGCGAGAGAGAGGGAAAGAGAGAGAGAGAGAGAGAGTGCGTGAGTGGAGGAGGGAGAGCGTTCGCGAGCGCGCGCGCGGGGGCAGCCAGAGGAGCGCACGGCACAGCGAGCGAGTTTATTTTTAGTGGCAGAAGGTGAAGAAGGCGGGCGAAGAGCACCGCGCGGAGTGGTATTAAGCGGCAGCACAGTGGCCCGATGAAGCGGCGTATGTGACATCGGGTTTTCCTCTCTCTTGCCACCGTCGAGGAAGAAGAGACACCTCGCAGACATCTTGCTGCCACCGTCCACGGTGAGTAGTATGTCGCCACACTGCCCCGTCGCCACCACCCCCACCCACCCCTCTGCCCCATCGCCGCCCCTTCACCTTCTCCTGCTCCTCCTCTTCCTCCTCTATCTCCTCTACCTTCTCCCCCTCTTCCTCCTCCTCACCCTCACGCGCCCCTTCCCCTCGTCGAGGATTGATTCGCCATTCCGCCCACCAGGACACAAGCCTCCACTATTTCCACCTCCCCTTCTCTCATCCCTCTCTCATCCCTCTCTCTCTCTGTCTCTCTTTTGTTTTCTTTTGTTTTCTTTAAATATATTTGTTCCTCTCTCGCAATCTCTCTAGCTGTGTTTACTCTTCTTTTTTGCCTCCTTTCTCTTGGCTTCTCGCTCATCCCTTCTTTGCTATTTCTCCCCTGTGCCATTTATCCATCCATCCATTTACCCATTCGCGCACACGTACACTCACATACGTGAGCGCACCCTTCTCGCTCCGTTGCTTCTCTCTCTCTCACACTCTTTTTCTCTTTCTCTTTTCACCCTTTCTCCCTGTCTCTCTCTCTCTCGCTCTCGCACGAGGCACCTCGGGGGAAGCTCCTCGTCGTAGACCATCGTCCACTCCCCATCCCCACCAGTCTCGCATCGCCCTCTCCGCTTCTCCGTGGAGTTACGAAAATTATGTAACGCGCTCGATCCGGGCGTTTCTTGTTCCGCTCTCCTTTTCTCATCTTCCTCCTCTGGATATCACCGTCTGCTCCCCTCGGCACTCGTCTCTCCCCCCCGCTACCTCGCTGTTCCTCTCCCCTGTGTGTTGTGCCGTTCTTCCGAACATTATTTCGGGAGTGCCAGCAGACCTGCCAGCGGACCCTGAGAGGGAGCGAGAGAAGAGGGACGGAGAGAGAAAAAGAGAGAGAGAGAAAGAAAGAGAGGCAGATGGAGAGAAAGAGGGGGAGAGAGAGAGAGAGAGAGAGAGAGAGTCTCCTGCATGACGCGTGCCCCGGGATCGAGCAGGCGCATTGTCGAGGGAAACCAACTTTCGATTAGGGATGTAAACCGGTCGTGTGTGGCGACCGCCACGAGTCATGCCGCTGGCGACTTCTGAAACTCGCGAAATTCCGTTCGCTGCACTCGCGTCGCGATTCTCGTCATGTCCATTATCCTACACTACATATTCACGCTCGGCGTGTATATAACGTCGCCTGGCTCGGACGCCCAGAGCTCGTGATCCCAACGAGATCTTTCTATGTGAGTGACGGACGATGGAGCACTCTTATGCCTTCGAATCCTCCCGAAACCTCGACTGGTCACGCGGCGCAAACGTGAACGCTAGAAGAGAGAGAGAGAGAGAGAGAGAGAGAAAGTTAATCGATACGCTATGTTTTAGAAATTTTCCATTCGCGGTTTTACATAGGAAGAGTGCGTAATATCGACATCTCTCTGTACAATCTTGATAGCGCGAGACTCGAAATTCGCTAACGTTGACAGCGTTCGTCTGGTCGAGGGAACGCTCGGACGACCCCGCGATCGGCCTCCACGCTGAACCCGCGGGTCCTCGAGGTGCAGATCTCTTTCGCGAAAGGGATCAGCCTCGTCGACGTTGGCTAATTCGCACGCGCGTATCGCGTGTCTCACGTGGGCGCGATCCGGTCCTCCACGCCTTTGCGTCGCGTGCGATGCACGATGAGGTCTCTTATTGGTTTCCGGTGGCATCCCTCCGCGAGGGTGCGAAGGTCTCTCGAGAGTGGCTTCTCCCTTCCCGCCCCTCCCTCTCTCTCTTTCTCTCTCTCTCTCATCCCGGAAAGAGCGAGGTGAGACCGGAGACCCGAACTTTTTTCCCGCTCGACGCCGTGCGGCGCGAGCCACCAGCTTCTGGTCAGCTCCGACTGTAATACGCGTGAGGCACAGTCGAAGACTCGCCTTTGTCCCGCTTTCGTGGTATCGACCCGGTATACGGGTGACCTAGACTCACTTGCCGAGGAAATATACCCAACCTTTGACAGCCGTTCGTCCGCTCGCTCGTTCGCCCGCTCGTACGCTCGCTCGTCATGACGACGAAACCGGCCCGAAACGAATCGATAGAGGGTCGCTAATAATTACGCACGTGCGAAACCGTCGCGTCGCCCGCGCGACGACAACCATGACGACGACGACGACGACGACGAGGAACCGGGGGGAAAAATGCGTTCCGCGCCGGATAGGAAATGCCGAATACGGGGGGAGGGGGGCCGTTAAGTTATTTCGGTGCTGCCGACGACGGTCGGAATTTGGTATTGAACCGCTCCGCACCGTCCGACCGCACGCGCGCCTTTGCTCCTCTCGTCGGCCGCGGCGCGGCGATTTAGCTAGGAAGCGTGCGGCGCGGCGGCGTGTTAACGCGGGGGAGATGCGGCCGCCCGTTTATTTTTCCGCCCGTCGCGGAGCATCAAAATGTTTGGCGGATTATCGTACGCCCCGCTGTTGATGAAACTTGAACATCACCGAGTGCGTCTCGACGTAAAAGCCGCCGAGTAACGCGGGCGGTTTTTTCTTGGGCGAAATGGATCTCTCTTGGGCCCTGTCAAGCAAAAATTTTGACACTCGTAATGATAGATGGTGGCTGGTGGAAATATAAATGGTCGCGGAGAGAGAGAGACAGGGGTGACGCGAGGGAGAAAGAAAAAGAGGGGAGGATTCTCTCTTTCTTCTCTCTTATTCCTTGACCTCGCTTGTTCTCTCACATTTGGACCTCTTAGCGCTGAAAATGCGACTTGTTACTTGAAAAAGAGTAATAAATTTGCATATTAAGGTGAGGAAAGTTTGTGAGCTACAGAAATACTGATTCATATCCAGTCGGCTAGTATTTAAACTTCTGCCTTTGTAGAATTCCCGGCTAATGTTAACATTGACGCTATCGTTACATCTCGCACGAATATCTCGAGGAATACGAGAATAGAAATTGATTTTTCGCAACGAAATAATATCTACATGAGACGTATATAATCTCGTGCATTATCCAAACACGTTTCTTACGCTTGTCCCTTTTTTGATATCTTTAATAATATGCTTCGGTCTTTTTTTTTCCAAATTGAAATAGGATCGTGAAATAGGAAGCTGTAAAATTAGACAGGGTAAACTTTTCATAGCGCACCCAGCCGCTCGTTTTGCCAAACTGTCACGGCGAAAGAGCGGGTTGAAAATGTTTTTTGCTGGGACGCATGCCAAGATATACGAAGACCGATTAAGGGTTAATAACATCACCGGGATAACGACTACCGTCAAGTGTTCCCGGCGGTTGTTTATAGGATGTAGAATTGCGGCGTAAGACTCTAAACCGCGGCTCATGCCTCGTTCCCGGGAGATAGAAAGCCGAGCGTAGCGCTGCAAGTAGAAATAGACGGTCGTTGTCAGACACGCGCCTCGTGGAAGGCAAACGGAGCAGGGACGGGCGGGCGCCGTCTTTGATCCATCGATTAATCGATGCTGGACACTTCCTTCATTTGGCAGCCGATTATTCTCCTCGAACTCGGGATTACTCGATATTTTTTAATTAATATTTTATACATTGTCGACCGCGTTGGACTTTGCTAGAAACGCAACGGACCATTCCTATTTTACTGAACATAAATTGTTATTATTATCCTTGGTTGCATAGAGAGTCGATTTTAATTCGTATATGTATTTCCGCGTAAAAGCTCATGATTTAATACCGTATCCTTTGAGG